TTTCATAACCATTCCACTCACTTAACTATGCTTTCACGGAAGTCTGAGAAACGAGCGCAGAAATTCCATACCGATGACGCGTCACACCCAGATCTGGGTAGTGCTTCTGATTGGTTGAAGCAAATTTCCCACGCGACACGACCAATCAGATGCACTACCCAGATCTGGGTAGTGACGCGTCATCAGTATGGAATATCTGCGCTCGTTTCTCGGACGTCATTTGGTGGGGAAACCAGTGGTAGCGTCGCCAAATGTTGGCTGTTTTTCAGGTTATTTGTCTCTTAACTTAACTAATCGATCATAAGAGAATAGAATACTACCGCGGGCCAAAACCGGCTCCACCGTGGGAGCACTCCAGCTTTTCTAAACAAAATGACAAATTCCCAGGGGGTGGGCACGCTTAGAATTGACTAAGCTATGACCCGTGGACGTCTTTATTTCGGATTTACGCATGTGCCTGTAAAAAAAAGCAAAAAGAATGCGGTAAAATGTGTCGGATTCGTCACGAACCCAGAAAATCTCCCTAGTGTAATCATAGCCTTGTAAGAAACCCTGTTAATACTGCCGACGGCTACATTTTGAAATCCCAGTGCGTATGTTCCTTCATAAATTCACGTCATTAATATGGTCATTCACTGGCTAAAAAAATGTACATTCTAAGTGAAAGGCAAATCTTGACAAAGAATAACAATATTCTATTGACAAACTGGACGTATATGTAAAATGCTGTGTCTTTCACTTGTAAAAGGTATCTCATAACTACACTAACCCCCCCTGATGATAATACGACCTTACACTCTACTTCCGGGTTAACTTCCAGGTTTTCTGAAGCTTCATTGATCAGCGGCGTCTTCAAAGATGGCGTCCAGTGTGGTGGAAAGCCATTCTCGTCCCCAGAGCCCGTCGTTTCTTGGTCACGTGGTCTTTCGTTACAAATTAAGCAGAGTGGTTCCGGGGACGAGAATGCTGGAAAGCTTAGTTGACATAAATCAATAGGACAATTGTATCGTTGACGTCATTTGACTACAACTACCAGAATCCTTAAGTTTGTTGTTTTCTTGTGCAAATTAAGGTTATTGTTCTTAATCCTCAGCGGGATTGATAAATTTAAATAACAAAGCAAAATCGAAATGAATTATGGTAGTTGTAGTCAAATATCGTTATCGTGCAATTGTCCTATTATTTAGGGACAAATCTTTGAAGTTTTCTCCAGCCGAATCAGAAGATGTCGTGCAATATTTGAAGAGAATTTACGGAGATCAATTTAAACCGCTGGGAAACCAAGATTTGTTGTCACTCTATCGCTCTTGGCATAGAGGACGCGATAGGCATCGAATTCCAACGTGTACATAGAATGGGAAAACCTAGGAGTGCTAGTGGAAATGGTAGCCGTACAATTATAGCTCGCTTTTTTAGGTATTCGGACGGGGAACGTGTGTTCAAGTGTGGTCGTAAGCTGAAAGACACAAACTTCAAGATGTTTGAAGATATTCAAAAGGAGTTACACGAACTATGGAAAGTGCAAATGGACAAATTTAAAAAAGCCAGGAAAGAAGGTAAACGTGCGTATTTTAGTAAATCCGATCTAGTGAGATTGAAAGTTTACGAAAGGTAGTTTTTTTCTTCTGGAAAGGCTCGATTGTTTTTCACTTTTTGGAGCATGGGTAAGGGTTTTTCGTGTTTTTTTCTTCCCTCTTAGCTGTCTTTTTTTGTTCCTGTGTTAAGCTTGTTTGGGTGTTTGGTATTCGTAATTTCTTTTTTTCGTTGTTGTTTTTGTTTATGGATCTTTCGGCATTTTGTATAGTATGTTAATCAACTTATATATGATATGCGGTTCTTTTGATATGGATACTCCCGGGTGGATACTGTAATTTGCAGGTCCTTTGTCTTTTCTTTAGGTATTCAGCCCCAAGGCTCACACCTCTTTTTAAAATGTACAGGTTTCATTCTTCTCTTTTTACTTCATTCCTTCTTCTGATTAGCTTCTTCAATCCCACCAATTTTTCGCTCATTACATCGAGATGGTATTGGACACTTGTAAATTGATCTCACTGAATGTAAGGGGCATAAATAAGTTTCGTAAAAGGCGAACGATCTTTACGCGGTGTCGAAAACAAAAGGCCGACCTAATCTTTTCTGCAGGAAATTCATTCAAAGAAAGACTCTGAAAGACAATGGAAAAATCAATGGGGAGGTGCTATGATTATGTCACGCGGAAGTCCAAATTCGTGCGGAGTTGCGATACTTTTCAAAAAAGGGTTTGATTGCACTATTTTGTCAAAATTCGAGGACCCACTGGGGAGCTATTTGATCCTGAAGGCGGAGATCAAGGACAAGTTGAATGTGCTGATTAACATCTATGCACCGAATAATGATAAAGACATAACAAACTTTCTTAACTATCCGAGAACGATACTCCAAAATGAAAATCTGGAAGACGAAGAAAATATAATTATAGGGGGAAAAATAAATTGTTCGCTGAATCCAGCCCTAGATAAAAAAAGGTGGTACAATGTTACCGAGGAAATCAGTTATTGAAACCATTGATTGTTTACGAGACGAACTTGATTTGGTTGACATTTGAGAATTAAAAATCCTTCTTAAAAAGTTTCACGAGGAGCAAAAACTCGCCAATGATTTTATGCCGCTCAGACTACTGGCTGATTTTAAATAACCTTCAAGATTCGGTTTCAGTAACGAATATTATTCCATCCATTAAAACCCACCATGCAGCCATTTCCTTGGATTTTAATATTAGTCAAAACCACGTTAAAGGTCCGGGTTACTGGGAAATGAACTGTTTTCTTCTAGACGATGATAACTACCAAAGGAAGGTTTAGGCTAAAATGCCTGTCTGGCTGGCCAAGGGCAGATGTGACCTGCCGGATCACATGCAGATGTATTTGGGATTGGATTAAGTATATCTTAGAGCACATGCAGTACAGTTTTCAAAACGTAACCCAAAGAAAAAAGATAAGGAGAACATACTGCAAGATGAATTTAACAATGCCAAGCAAACGTTCCAATGTGACCCTACCAATAAAAAATGCAAGCGATTTTAATACGGCGAAAGAAAAACTGGAACATTTTTATAAAGAAAAGCTTCAAGGTATCATCATTCGTGCGTGGGTGCAATGGTGTGAACACGGTGAAAAAAGTACAAAATATTTTCTAAACGATCAGGAGAAAAGGAGCCACGTCAAAAACATGTGCGAAAATTGAAGATTAATGGTTCGATCACTACTGATCTGTTCAAAATTCTTTCTGAGGAAAAACGTCTCTGTCAAGAATTGTACATGAGTAAGAATTCGGGTAACAGAAACAGAAATTTTGAATAGTTTAAACATCCCTCGCCTCACAGATGAACAATAGCTTTCGTGTGAGGGCAGCATTACAGAGGAGGAGTGTGTTAAAGCTTTACAAAGTTTTCAGGGTAACAAGAGGGTGCCAATGGGATTAGCAGTTAACTGATATTTGGCCAAAAAACAGTAGTTAACTTATAATTGGCCAAAAAATTAGTAGTTAATTGAGAAATGAAAAGTTAACAGTCAAGTAACATTTTATTAATTATACTGAATACGATCGTTGATGTTAATGAAAGCAACAAAGGTTTGCAAACAGAAATGCTATTTTCTGACTTTTTCTGTTCCGCTGATGACCCGGTGGTACTATATGTAAGAGGCACGTGACGGCAGCACCAGGCAAACAGAAAGCGTCAATCATAGAGCTGGTTGTAGACAATTCAACGAATAATTCGTCTTCTAATATTAACATAGCCTGCTCCAGGCTCTTAGATAGCGCTCTCCCCAGATTCCTCCCGGTTTTATTTTCGTGTTTGCGCTTTCTCAATTCAGCGGACTGGAACAGACTAATATTGAGGGTAAGTTAACGGAGCTATGTCAGGTCGGTTTATGGTCCATTTTGTTTTTACTCTCGCCAATTACTAGGTATAAAACTGTCGTAAAGAAATTACTCCTTATTGGGGACAAAATCACAGCTTCTTGAAAAACATCCAAATATATGTGCATAATTTACAAGTTAGAAAATTACAAACTACAAATTACAAATTACAAACACTGAAAGGCTGAGTTCCAACCCTTCCTCTTCTCTTACTTTGCAGTCCCTGCTCCCGCCCTCCTTTTTCTTGGCTGTCTCCCTCTTTCGATTGCTATATTTTAAGCCTTGTTACGTAAATTCTCCCCGTTTCTCCCACTTCCCACCCTTTTAGAACTCCCACCTCCCGCTCTTTCCTCTTCCCCTACCGTACCCCTGCCTCCCCCTATTCTCCTGGGCCTGGATAAATTACTATCCAGCGGATAGCGTAAGTGGTTTTCCTGACACTTATCCGCTGAATAGTAATTCAGTTATCCGGTGGATAGCAATATCCAACGTACGAGCAACCGGGGCCTGGTCTCCTACTTCCCTGCTCTCTCCCACTCATACTAGTACGACAACTGATATGAAGAGGTAGACAGATAGTATTTACTATTTATTAGTTTTCTTACTTGAGATTAGATAAAACAAGGTAAACAGAATGGAAATGAAATTTTTTGCAATTATGATCATAAAAAGGGACGATCACTTGTAAAAACATGTAGTTCCTTCTATTGTTAAACCGTACATCACGACACCATCGATTAAGTGCCACAGAACTCGCAATTATGTTGGTTATGAGATGCATTACCGTGACGTTCAGTCTACCTGTCGTAAGCACAGTTTGTGCGAGACTATTTTAAACAACTAACTTGTTATTTTATATTGTTGCATTTTTAGCTATTATACATAACGTTTGCAACAAAATAAAATTTCGTATTCTTTTGCATGATTGACATTCATAGTTTGAATGCGTGACATAAGTTATAAATATGAATGTCAATCATGCAAAAGAATTCAGTAATATCAGTTGTTGTCTGCTTATAATTATCAGACATACACTTCCGCCTGACATCTGGCCACGAGGATAAATTTATTCACCTCACTTTCGGTTCGTTGAGCGCACGATGGCGTCGCCTGAAGAACCGTTGAGGACGGGAGAGATTTCTCCTCGATTTGATAAATTTTTAAAAGATGTCGTCGATCATCTGAGCCCAGAAGAGCTTGAATATGCTGTATCGTCTATCAGAACGAATTTTGAGATTGGAAAGTTCGGGGATAAAGGAGATCAGGATTTATATTCGTGCCTGCATCTTTTTGCAAATCAGGGTCTTGTGTCGGAGGACAATTTGACTTTGTTGGAGAAATTTGTAGTCACCCCACAAACATCTAAGAAGGAGGAAATCGAGGAACAGATTGAAGCTTTTAAGGCAATCCGCTTGCAAGAGTTTAAAGAGTCAAAGGCAGCGACATCAAGGGAATTAACGGGAAGACACAACGACTTAAAAAATGTTATGTCGAAGTTAACAACTGGTGGATCAAGTGTCGTAAATCTCTACGGAGCTAGTGGTGTCGGGAAGACAAGACTTGCAAATGAAGTGCTATATAAGTGGCAAGGAACGCAAACGAATAAATTTAACGTGGACTTGAGAGAAATAGACAAAATGGAAGACGTTCACTTCCACCTTTTACAGGTGCTTTCAACCGAATCGGAGGAAACAACAGTGAGCTATGAAGCAAATCCTGTTATTTTGAAAATGATGCAGCTGAGACAACGGGAACAAGGGAACATTTTGCTACTTTTCGATAACGTTGATCAATTTTCAGGTGGAAAAGATGAGGCTGCCGTTAGACGAAATACTAATTTTGTCTCATTTCTCCAACGACTCACCAGTGACAAAACTGGGGGAGACAAATCGTCATTGAAGATTCTGTTGACATCTAGAAGTGCATTCCGTCACGGTGTGGAAAATTACGAAGTGAGAGGTTTGGAAAGGGTCTCTTCGTGGGAGCTCCTTCAAAGGCAAGGGACACCTGCTATTCAAGGGGGCCAGAGAGAGCGATTAGTTGAGATTTGCAGAGGGAAGCCACTATTGCTCAATGGCATGGCATCAATTTTAAGGCAGGAAACTGATGCAGAAAGACTCCTTGGAACCATTGAGCAGGAGTTAGCGGTGGAACAGTCCCAAGACACTGGGAAAGAACAGACTGAAAAGGAGGACATGTTTGATGTTAACGACGAAGGTATCGATGAGAAACAGCTGTCATGTTTGAGGAAAATGTTCTTTTTCCTTCCAAGTAAAACACTTAAAGAGTCTGCCGTTTCAGTGTCACTCTTCTGCCGCCCATTTTCATTGGAAGCAGCAGCTGAGATACTTGGAGTAAACGTTTCCGAAGCTGCAATAAGAATGGAAGCAATGCGTAACAGTCAAGTGGTCTTCCTTGTTCCAGAGTCAAAAGAACTGCTGTATGACATACATCCCTTGATGCGAAAGTTTCTTAAAAGCATTGGCAATAGCAAGGCTTTCGTGGAAGCTTACCAAAAAGCAGAAGACAACTTTTGCAAGCATTTCGTTCCTCAGTTGATAACAATTGCAGCCCTTTTGGACAAAGACTACGTAAAAGCTTTTGACAGCTTTGATTTCCAAAAACCCAACTTTGAACTTGCTCTAGATATTTCTATGAAGTCCAACTACCTTCTAATTTCTCAAAAACACCGGGAAAGCGTCTTGGTTTGTTATTTATTTGAAGCCATGATCAGTGATCAGGGGCGAAGAAGAAAGATTTTTCACACCTGGGCTGAAAAGATTGAGGAAGATGGAAAGGAAGGTAAGGATATACTATTTTTCGTTGTTCAGTATGCTATCGCGAGTAGTTTCCAATTTAAGAACAAACTATTACCAAAAGCACCGGCTCAACAGATGAACAAGCTCGTGAAATATAACAGCAGACATATGAATTGATTTTCCCAAGTGTGAGCAATGGAGAGCTAGTTTTCCCGAATATAGTGCACACCATAAAACTTGGCCATGTCGACCCGGAATTTAGAGTCTTACAGTCAACTCTCTCCAAGACGCGGGACACCTTTCCGACCCGCATAATGTGTTCGTTTTATATCATAGATTGTCAGCTAAAAGGGGTAAAGAAAGGCAAGGGCCAACCCTAGGTGTCTGTTTTTGAGAGAGGGAGAGAGAGTCGAACTTCTTCCTAACTGTCCCAAGCCGGGCAATTTTTGGCAGTGTTTACTGATGTACGAGAGTCTTAGGGTTTGGCAATACCACGCCACTCCTAGTGGATTCTTACTAATACAAACCCTTCCGTTAAATTTCAAGTAACACCAAATCTTTTATACATGATCTGCCCTTCTTAAGAGAACTGAAGATGTTGGAACAACGGTACATACTTCACATGTTCTCCTTAGTGTCCAAGTCAGGTCCAGACAAGAGTACCCCTATTTGGTTTCTTGGTCCAGATAAAAGTGTTTTGATTGTTCTGCTCCTCAATTTTCTCCATAGGCAGTATATTTCGAGCGGAATTGCAATGCTGGGAAGCTTTGCAGGTACTCACACTTGAAGGATGGCGTAGGGCTGCGGAAGTTGTTCAAGAGTCGAGGGAGTTGCTGAAGAGGGTGCAGAGAGATGGCAAAAAGACCAAGCTTTTCAAGATCGCGAAAAGCTCTTGTTTGTTTGTTGAAGGCGAAGTCTTCAGCCGAGCAGGAAATTGGCCAAAAGCACTTAAAAGTTTGAGGCGTTCCCTGGAAATAATGGAAGAGCAATTGAATAATCACACAAGCACTTGTAGATGTTTGAATGCCATTGGAAATTGCTACAACAGTCTGGGAAATCCAGAGCAAGCGATTAAGTTTTACACAAGAGCATACGAAATGCGTCAAAAGCTTTCTGGTTCAAGGGAACACTTTGACTTGCCTCTGTTTAGAAGTCAAATTGGGACAGTGTATGAATCAATGGCCATTCAAGAGTACCTCAAAAACAGAACCATGACACCCCAGGCCGAAAAAAAATTTCGCAAGGCTATAGGATACTATCAAGAGGCATTAGATCTTGCCAAAGAACTTAAACTCACTGGGATTCTATACACAGCACTTTATAACAGAAACATTGCTAACGCTTACTCATGGCTTATGGAGTATGAAAAGGCGAAGCCGTTTGCTTATAACGGGTACCAAATTCGGAAAGATATCCTTGGCAAACATCCATTGACTGCCCGGAGCACTTTTCAAATGGCAGAAAATTCCCGAGGTCTTGGGGATTACGATAAAGCTAAAGAATACTACGAAGAAGCATGGGAGATTGAGAAATCTCTGGGACAAGGGAACCACAGTGAAGTACGGGACAGACTGATTAAAAGCTACGAGGGAATGCTTCACGGGGAGAGAAAAAGGGCATTCCAGAAGGAAGTCTTGGAGTTTTATCAAAGATCATGGGACGAGGAGAAACGTTTTGAAGGGTTTCAGTTCTCTCAGGCCAACATGGTAATCATCGATTCTATAGAAGAACGGCTTAAGGAAGAGGCTGATGAAAAGACGAGGAGAAAATATGAAAACGAAGCTCTTTGGTTTTACGAAGGAGCCTGGAATTCCCCTGACAACAAGAGGCTGCTTTATGAGCAGAGAGAACACATCTTACAAACTTTGTTAAGGTTGTGTCAAGAAGCTGATAATAAGGAACTTTTTTGAGAAATATCGAAAGGAATCGTTTAGATTCTACGAAAAGAGATGGAAAAAGACCAGTTCGGAGTTGGAGAAACAAGCCAAAATTGACTTTCTCACCGCACTGGAGGACCTGGCCACATCACTTGGATATGAAAAGAAGACAAAAAAGTATAATACGCTGCTAAAGGTAAGATAGGCAACTATAACTAAAGTGTAAGCAAAAACACCGTCAGCAACTAATTTTCGTCACTTAAGAAAAATAAATCGTGTGTAAAGAGAAAGTGTTCTAAATAAAGTGTTCTTATTTTCAAACAGGAAACCAATCGGGGAGCTTCTTTTTCCTGGCGTTTTCTTAATCCATTTGTGAGAGCAGGTATTTTTATTATTATTATTGTTATTATTATTATTATTATTATTATTATTATGTAATAATAATAGATATAAGGACTCATTATCCTAGTGTAAATACTGAAAGTTTTAAAAATAGCTTTTTTAACAGATTAGTTTTTAAATATAACCGGGCTTTATAGATATTACTTTAATAAACGTTTTAAATAGATTTTTGTAACAGATTAATGTTAAGTATAACCTAGTTGTGCAAATATTAGATTTTAGAATTCTATATTTTTTTACTTGTGATACAACTGGACTTTGTGCTTGCTTCTTAACATTTCAATGTAACATCTGATATGTATTTTATCCGATGAATAGACTTATTTATTATTATTATTATTATTATTATATTAGTAATAATAAAATTAACAAATTTTACTAAAAGATAATTGCTCTGTTGTCAAATACAATTAGAAACAAAGATATGGACTCGGCTGCAAGATTTTATAGCAATTGGGGCATTACGTGTAACTACTACTTACTCCTTCATGCTTGTTACTGCGGGATATTTAACGACATATGTATGGCTCTTCCGCATCCAAACCTGTGATCAAGAGAATATATCTTTTTTTTTTTTTTGTTCTTAACTGAAAAAGTTTAAATTAGTTTTCTCTATGCCTTAAACGCGAACATTCTACATATTGATGTTTCACAGAGAGGTCTCCTGACAATGATGACGATGATGATGACGACTACGATAGTAGTAATGATGACGATGACAGTGTAGATGATGATTTTAATGAGAACGATGATAGCGGTAGCAATGATGATGGCGATGATGGTGGTGCGATGATCATAGAAGAACACGAATTGCTACAACAAATTCATGAACTTAGCCTGGAGGGACAAGTGGAAGGCGTGGATGAATCAGACTTGGACAAAGTAAAAATACACGAGTATGTATACTACTGTTCCTGTAGCCCACTGTAAGAGCACACTAGCATAAAGAAATCCCCACTCCGATTATTCATGCCAATTCATTTCTTTTCCCTGCCTGCAGAGAAATTTCTCTAAGGGAACTCGGTTTTGTTAGAAGTTATACATAGGGCTTTGATAGTATTAGCACACAGCACAGCTTCCAAATTTGAAACAATCAGTTCACCGAAAGCATTATGTTTTCCAACTAGGATTGTGGGTATAACCATCCTACGCAAGCTATTCTATGAGTTCGTATTTTTTTAAACAGAAAACCACTTATCAGGTTTCCTTTAACCCGTTTGTGCTCTTGGGAAGCTTTACATGCAAAACGACAAGAAGGTCCGCTAATTGATTGGTGGTTTGATTGATTGGTTGACTGATTAATTAATTGATTTATTAATTGATTGATTGCAGAGGAACGCTTACTAGTGAAGGTACCCACTGGCCCCTCAAACGAGGGGGCGCCCACATTTTCTTCCTTCCTAACGCCGTGTCTGAGCCCACACCAATAGTGGTCCATCGATGGAAATGCAGTGCACGTTCGCCCCCACTGCAAGAGCACGAGGCAGTTGTCAGCAATGTTCTTGAGATTTCGACCATCACTGGCCATGAATTAGAATTCGACGCTGAAGCGAAGTTAGTTCTCTCTCACAGTGCTCCTTGTTTACAGGGCTACGAACTGGTGATTAAGAAGCTGATCGACCAGGAAAGCAATGAATGGGAAGAAGTGGATGGAACTGAGGACTTGCGGTGCTGGCAAGGTTTTCAAACATTTGCTCTTTGAATAGTAGAATGATAAAACAGCCAACATTTCCCCCGCGAAACAATGTCTGAAGAACGACTGCAGAAATTTCATACTGATGACGTGTCGCTACCCAGATCTTTTATCATTGATTTAATAATAATTAATAAATGATAATGATAAACACTGGCACTATATTCATATGTCGTTTGTTTTTCATATATCTTGTTTACAGACATCGAAGATGACTTCCCTTCTCACCATGACACCTCAGACTTTTCCTTTCCTATTGCTCAAGCTGACATAACTGAGTGCTCAACATACGCAGTTGTTTGTCGTCTCAAGCCTTCTCCAACGTACACCATCACATCTAGAGGTGGCTCATTCAGTCACCCAGACTATCCAGGGGTGAATATAGAAGTCCCCAAGAAGGCTGTTCCTCCCAAAGGAAAGTTTGCTTTGGAATTTAAGGTAAGCAGATTGTCAGTCGATTAGATATTGATCTCGCTCCTGGTAAGGAAATGTTTGTGTTGTTTGGTGTCACGATGATATGCAGACTTATGCGTGAGGAGTTTTCGAATTCTCCAGGCTCAACAAAAATGCTAGAATACAGAGTACCTTTTTCTGATCCTTTAGATGCAAAAATTATTATTTCTGCTTGACTGACACAAAGCAATCTGGTTTTTACTAGTTTTACAGTTTAGATGTGGCGTAAGGACAACTCTAGCCAAATTTTCAGAAATCAACATGAACATGCGATTTAAGTTCATGTAGTTCTGCCATTTTTATTACTTCAGGTGCAAGAAGTTCCAAGTGAAGAATTTGAAGGGCAGGACTTGTTTCTTAGCCCTATACTGCGTATAATCTGCAATCAATTTGACGAGTTCTTGAAGCCCGTCACAATACAGTTGCCGGTGTCTCTACGAAGCGACCAGAAAGAAACTCCTGACCCCTCGACGTGTCGTGGCAGAGTATTGTTCTTTAATTCTGATGGCGAAGATAAAAAATCGATGGAAATCACAGATGACCTTAGAAGTCCTGTAAATTTTGACGGCAAATTTGTTTCGTTCCAGGTTGAACGCTTCTCTAGGTGAGAGGAAATTCATATATTGTTTTTCTCATTTGAAATGAAAAATATTTCTTGTGAACTGATCATGAACTTATATTTAAATGTTATATGCAAGTTTCAATGTTAAGGCTTTTAAACGTTCGTGGATTCGCGACGAGCGTTATATTGCTCTTCGAACCTCTATACCTTTAAAGGTTCTTTGTTTTTGTTTGTTTGTTTCTTTCTTTGCATGTAGATATATTACCTTCATAGTGTAGTTAATGTTTATTTGCGCTTTTGTAGTGTAAAGAAGGCCATTTTAACTGGGTCAATAATAATAACGTCTTGCTGTAGTTAAATCTTGTAATGCATTACGTCATAATGTGTGAATGACCGTCATATTATTCCCATAATTCCACGGGGTATATTTTTTTCCTTGGTGTCAACAGGTATCTTAACCAGTGTAGTCATTACGTAATTTTGGTTATTGTCTTGTCTTTAGATACGCTTGCGGTTTTGTATGGAGCAAAGCGGACTTCAGCTTTTCCGGACTAATTAGTTACATGTCAAGCCTTATTTGGACTCCTCCAATTCCAGCAGTTTTATTCGCTTACTTCGAGAAACAGGATCGTGCCCATTCTCAAGATGTTCTCCATCTTATTTGCTGTCCGGCTCACTTGAGAGAAGGAATAATACAAAGGCTGGACAAAAGAAACGTGGTTCTGAGTGAGGGATATTCACGGAAGAAGATGATACCTGGGCGTGACAAAGCATTTGTATTTGTGTCTGGAGGGATTAGTGCACTTGATGAAGAAAACGTGGACGATTTTCACCTGAAGTAAGTTACATGACGCAGTTTCTCACCAGGCATCTTTTCTTGCAACTTGTCACCCAATCGTGTCAAAATAAGTTGGTTTAAGAGTTAGAACATGTAACGTCTCAGGGTTGTTGCCTTGTTCCCTAGCAACAACATCAAGGTTCAAGGATCGGGTTCTAGCCATTTTTAAACAGACTTTTGTTTTGGTTCCTACAGAGAAAAACACGACCAAAAGCATTAAAGTGTTTGGTTTTTGAAAAAGTTAAGCATAGATATTAAGTAAATTTACACTTGTTTCACAAATCTGAATTCTTTAATAAAATTTGATAAGTATGACATAGTAGGCGCCACTGATCAAAGCAAGAATTAGATGGGAGATGGGGGGCTCAGCATTCTCAACTTGTTCCACTGTAGGGTGTGAATTATCTTTTATATTCATATGTTTTTAGGTTTGAAAGTGACCTCTGCTACAGCTGTCATCTGCAAGTTCGTTTGATAAGCGACCAAGTTCTATCCCATGTGGAATTTCGCAGCAGCCCGGATCCTACAGCGAGAAACCTTCTGTCTAGACTAGACTTTAGGTTGTCTCCATTGAAAGTTGATCGCACGGTAAGTCCCACCAACAGGCATTAGCGCAAATCACGGGTTTTGTTACTATGACAACTCATATGGTACTTCTCTGTTTGCGGCAGTTGCAGTTGACTGAGGATTAGAGCAATCTCTTTCCCAGGGTCCTCTCCTACTGAATCGGTCTCCTGAGTGCTACGAGGACCCTGGGAACGAGGATAAGATTAGAGCTTATCCGTGGACCTCGAAGAACTCAGTTCAGAAGCATTTCTTTATTGTTGCCTTTAACACTTTGACAGTTTAGAACTCAAGTAAACCTCAATAATTAGCCTACGTGGCCAGGCGCTGGTTAGTACACACAATGTTTCTCCTTTCGCCCAAAATAATCCGGCGCTTTCTACGCACGCTACTCAAATCTTTTCTGACTAGGCTAAAGGAATGCTGATTCTTAAAGTTAGGTTTCTCAAATCATATCTACACAGACTCGTTCGTGTACCTGCTGATATACTATTGTTCTATATCGCGTGAAAACAGTCATATTAATCCTCCGTGAAATTGGTGTACGAAAAGAGCTGTCTATCAAAGTAACTAGTTTTGAGACCAGAACACGATCACTTTGACACTTATTTCTCAACGTGTTGGGTAATAAGCACACTATTGTATCGTGAATGCTGTTAACAGAAGATTTCCTCATGTTTCGGCCATTCTGCATCCTTTTCTTTACAGAAAACTCCAGTAGAATTTTTTGGCGTGCCTTTGAATGACGCACACTTACTGGATGCTGACGTGGGATATGTTCTGGCAGCGTGTCGAGGTTTTGTATCAGATGAATTATATCAAGGACATTTTACCCGCTTAACGTCTGGAAATCAAGCACCTACCCAAGTATTGAAGAGTTTCTTCGAGAATTTAGCAGAACTCGACTGTGAACACCAAGATAGCTGTTTTGAAGCCATTGTGAGAGTGCATAAGGAGATGAACGGAGAAGGATCTGTGCATGTAGTTAAACGTCTTCTGGAAGGTAGAGTTTGCTAGACTGAAATTATATGCTTAAGTAAAAGGGACATTACCAAAAAGGGGGACGGGGATAGATGACAAGAAGGGGGAACATGGAAAATGGGACAATCGGTCTTAAAACCTCAGGCCTATCAAAAATCCTAGAACCTGCTTAGTCCCCAAGATCCATTTCCCCTTGTCCGTTCCCTGTTCCTTGTCAATTAAAGTAATTAACATATAAAGTATATACAGTGGAACCCCACTCCGCGGGGGTCCGCTTGATGCGGAAAGCCGTGTATCAGGGACAGTTTTGTTTGTCCCGAAGAAAAGCTAATATATTTTCTTTAAAGATACTCCACTTAATGCTAATCTGGCACTTAATGCTAATCTGGCAAAAATAACTTGGCAGATAACTACCGTCCAATTTCATTGACTAGCGTCGTTGTGAAAACTTTAGAGCGCTTGATCCACAAGCACATTATGAAGTATCTGACTGACTTCCAACTGCTTAACGACAATCAGCATGGATTTAGACCGTCAAGATCTTGTGTTACCCAGCTACTGCAATTAGTACATGAGTGGTTTCAGGCCTTGGATAAACTTGGATCAGTCGATGCAGTGTTTTTGGACTTTGCCAAGGCTTTCGATAAAGTCTCCCATGCCCATCTCCTCTACAAGTTGGAATGCTATGGTATCAAAGGCCAGATTTTAAATTGGTTAAGGGATTTTCTCACGTCAAGGAAACAGCGTGTAGTGATTGAGGGTCAAGCATCTGACTGGTTAAGTGTTACATCTGGTGTGCCCCAAGGAAGTATACTTGGGCCTTTGCTGTTCCTTGCATACATCAACGATCTTCCTTACTCAGTAACCTGCAACTCAGATTTGTTTGCTGACGATACTGTCCTTCATCGACACATAGAAAATAGATCGGATTGCGATCTACTTCAAGAGGATTTGACATCTGCCTCTGAATGGTGCAAGAGTTGGCTTGTTACTCTTAAGACCGAGAAGTGCGAAGTCCTACACATTACACGGAAGAATGATCCAATAAGATGTCAATATTCGTTGAATAACATCTTACTACCGGAAGTGGACCACCACAAACACCTGGGAGTTTGGTTGGAGTCGTCTTTATCATGGGATTATCACATTAACTCAATTTGTGCTAAAGCTAACAAGGTGTTGGGCTTGATTAAAAGGACATTTGGTTATTCAAACAAGACTGGTATCAAGACAGCTTTTAAGGCGCTAGTGATACCTATCCTCGAGTACGCCTGCCCAGTCTGGAATCCTTATCTGGTGAAACACACCAAGGCAATCGAAGCAATTCAGAGAAGAGCGTCCCGACTAATATGTGGCCCCGACAAAGAATATCCTGAAAGACTTTTAGAGTTAAAATGGGACTCTTTAGAACTGAGACGGAAATATCTTAGCCTAGTTCAAACGTATAAGATTATATTTGGTTACTGTGATATCAATTGCCATCATTACTTTGATATTATTGGAATAACTCGAACTAGAAGTAAGCATGAGTATAAAATAAGGCCTAAAGTTGCCCGTACAAATTATTTTAAATATTCATTTTTTCATAGATATATTAATGATTGGAACTCTTTGCCTTCTGAAGTAATGTCATCTCCTAGCCTTCAGTCTTTTAAAGTTTCACTGATTAAGTACCTTCGCTCATAATTTACCTTAAAATATTAGGCATAGTGTCTTTAATATAAGTTTATGCATCATTATTATTAGGCATCTAGGTTTATAATTTATAGTCTAATTTATAGTCTTTTAATATATGTTTATATATTAATTAATTTTTTTTTTCTTTTTTTTCTTTTTTCTTTTTTGGAAGGTATGTCTTAGCATGGGAATTTGGTTTCCCCCTACTACCGTCCTGTTAACCATTTTTGTATTTTTGTTCGATTGTATATGTTAGTATTAGTTCATTTGTATCAGTTATGTATGGTTACGAACTGTGATTAAAGATTAAAGAATGCGGACACCGGTTAATACGGACAACATACACTTTTCTGTGTCCCAAGTCGCATATACTCTTTTAACGTCAACCTCGCTTTACGGAGGCCTGCGAACTGTCCAGCCTTGTTCTTAGGGTCCTTTCCTATTCTTATCGTTCTCCTCTCCTCGTCTCTCGCTCTGGGGGACGAGAAGGATGCAAACTGTCCATTTTCCTCGACGCAATCATGCGCTAATACCTCTCAATCCTTCCTTTTTTGTTTTTGTTTCTTCTTCTTTTTGTAGCACGTAAGAAGGTTATTGTGCCCTTAGGAGAAGAAACAGAAGTGATCAAGAGAGTGTCACAAAAAGTGGGATCCTTGTGGAAGAAACTCGCAAGGGAACTTGAGCTTAAAGAAGGAACAATTAACAATATATCAGAAGACGAAAAAGAAAGCGATGACGAGGAACGCTGCTATGTAACACTCCAAACCTGGTGTCAGCAAAAAGGGGAAGATGCCACCGTTAGGAAACTCATGATCGCACTAACAAGAATAGGAAAAGCAGAAGTGAACAATGACATAATGGAATGCTTGGATCTTTTGAATCCTGTAAGGGTGTAATGAGACCTTTCTGTTAACCCTTTCATTTTCCGAGTGAATAAGGCAGCCTTTTAAATGCATGAAATCTCTGTGGCAGTACTTTAAACGACCCTTTCACATTTGCACTTGTTTTAACACTTTAAAATGGCCCATTTAACAAATGAATGCACCCTATTTAGGTTTATTAGTATGCCTAATTTATTCCTATTTGGATTTTTCCATTTTCCATTTTTCTTTTTAGCATCTTTCAAGGACATGGTTTTTGCAATTAGCTGTATAAATTATGTGTATATTATTGTATTTTTAACAGGTTATATGAAGAAGATCTTCCGTTCGAGGCTTATTTGAATGTTCGCCTGATAAATGACCAACACACAGCACAAGTGGGATTTCGTAACACTTTCCAACCAACGGGGAGAGATCTTTCGTTGTCTACATTGCACTTACCGATCCCCACTCAGTACACCTATAGTATGGTAAGTCGTATTTTTAAAATAGGAAATCAGGTCCTGGAAACAAAAAGCTGCTTAAACTTTCCGGAAGGGTATACTCAATAAAGTTTTATACGGGGAGGTTCCGCCCTGAGGTCTAACCGCCTACCCTTTTATATACCATTTTGGACAGACAAGGTACCCCTTTCGTATACCTGAAGCCTGAACCTCCCCCCCTCTCTTCCCCACAAGTGAAGAGGGTTCGGATTTAGCCCTTGCGGCCTAGAAATCTAGCTGCGGTTGCTCTCTTTCGCTGTGAAGCTCGTGAGGACCTCTTGTGTGTTAAAGTCGTCCGAAGCTTTTATGTTTATAAGTGTTGCACGGTTAATTATTACGCGACCGTAACTGACAGATATCTTCGCATTCGTCCGCTTCGTAAAGCTGAACTTTGGAGGTTATATAGGTGAGGGTTTGAAGACAGTGCATTAATAATAAAGGATACCACAGTAGTAGATTGCAGAATGGTTAAATAAATTAAAGAATGTCACTTATTATGTCCTTTCAGGTTTTTGAGGAACGTAGGCAACAGCTTAGTGGTAAGTTTTACTCTTCTTTATGCGTTCCATTTTCCGCTTTTCTTCAGTTCTGACTGGAGCGCGAGCAGAGTAGTCCGAGAGAGTCACATGCAGTACTAGTTCAAGCAACTTGGAGGACAGAAATGTTAGATAATCGATTGTAGAATTATAAATTCAACGAATTCCAGGGGCACCTAACGAGAATATAGTTCAAAACCACTTAAACACAGCATTGTTAAAGTATTTTAGTATTTAAAAGGTAGATGTAGGCATATTTTTATCCCCTGAAAATTTTTCATCTGTTCGGATTTCCTAGCTGAAAGTCTAGTGATTCGAATTGCGATCAAAACTTACCTTTTCGAAAATTCCAGCCAGAAAAAAGGCTCCCGAAAATTCTAGGTGACAAGCAAGAAATTTTACAACAAATGTTCCGAAAATTCTAGATCTCCGTCAAATCGTCTTCCGAACAGATATTTTCCGAACATTGACGTTGGGTGCCCCTGGAATTCCCAAGGAAAGGAAGTAAAAATTAATTGTTCTTATACCTTTAATACAGATGTCGTTCACGACAATCTATTCCCGACTTTGCATATGTTAAATGGCTGATTCAGTGGCTAATCAATTGATTATTGGCCGATTTGTTCATTATTTTTTCGTGAGTTTGTGTATCTGTTCGCTCAATCTTTTCCATTTGAATATTTTTTCCTCCCTTTTCTCCCTCATGTATTGATGAATGACTGCATCATCCAACTATATATCCATGCACCTACTTACCCACAGTTTATCATTTATCGTTTTTGCATTCATAAAAATGAATTTCTTGGGTCAATCATTGGCTTATATTCTCTCATGCATTCCATGCATGAGAGAAATAAGCCAATGAGACGGTCTCCTAGCTCGTCTGCTTGCTTTTACACAGTTATTAATTCCTCCTTGGTCTAGAGTTATGTGGAGCAATACAGTCAAATAGTACCTCAACTAACTGAATTTCGGTCGATTCGTTTAAGTTTTTGCAGGAGAAGTGAAGAAAGGGATTCTAACAGACGATGAACTAGAAGATCTGTCGGAAAAAATCCCTGACCATCGGAAAAAGCTTGGGCGTCGGCTAACCTTCGATAAAGCAGCGTTGGAAGCATTTGACAAAGACAATGACAAAATTGTCGATAAAGCTTACGCCATGTTGATTGTCTGGAAAGAAAGAGAGGGCTCAGCTGCCACGTACCGTGTTTTGAACAAAGCGCTGTGTGACATGAGCGTGAAACGTAGAGATTTAGCACAACAATTTTGTTGCTACTGACTGACTGATTAGATTTTTACTATTTTCTATGCACTGAATTGACATTAATCTACTTCTTACCTTTAATCGTTTGAATACATGTATCTTTTTCTTTTATATTATATTAGGGTACCAAGTTAAGGGTATTTATGTTGTAGCCGGTTATACATGTACATTTTGTGGTTTAATTTTATCCTTGGTTTAAGTTTTCTTTTGTTTCGTTTTACGGTACGGTAATGTATGATAATGAGTTTGAAACGAAAGAAAAGAAAAGTCAAACCAAGGATAAAATTGAAGAAATTGAAGAATAACATACAGAGAGGTCGGATAAGACCCTCCACCCTTTCCTCTTGAGGTTTGGGTTATGAAAGTTCTATTTTCGTTTACTTTGAGTCAGGTCTGTGAGTTGTGCCTGGTATTAGTTACATTGAGACAAGCACTTAAATTCAGTTACTATACCTCACATTCTTATTCTAATGTTTAATGTAAATATGTCTCTTCACAAAAAAGAAAAAAAATTCTTCATATTATAGTTCTATGCACAGACACTCCACTCTCAAAACTGAAAAATTGTTATTCTCTCTACACGTAATTCTAAACGTGTAGTTGTTAAGTGTTTCAGGGAAACTGATAGGTGTACAGTATTAGTTTTATAAAGTTTATTTATTTTATTTATATCTGTTTTTAACATATGTATAGGTATTTTGATATTTTATGTATATACTTTAATTTTCTCATAGATTCCTTTTAATTTTGCTGCATGTACAGGGCATCTTGTTTACATCAACGTTTTTTTTTTTAAATAAAGTACTGTATTTATTATATTAAATCTAACGTGCGTGATAGGAAACTGTTCCACACCAGTCCATACACGTTCAATATGAATACCTTGATTGAAAAGGGATAAAATAAGGACTGATACTTGCCTCTTTGTGGACTGGAAAAGTTCTAGGCGCAAAGTATTTTGGCCACAAATGCAAAATTTGAAGGGGACAGTGGGTGAAGAATTTGAACATGGAAAGTAAAATTCTTTGCCCCTGACATCTTTTAGGAGCCTCAGCTTTGATTTTTATGATTGCACTTATCTGCCATAAGTTCGTCATTGTCTATAAACCAATGCGCACGGAAACAGGTTTGGCTAAATGTCTCAATCTAATTTTTTTTTTTAACTTTTTTCTTTCATGTTGTGTTTTTTTTCCTTTGGTTGTTATCCGGAGACAAAAAAGCAATTCCTGAGATTGGTTGGGTTTTTAATGTTGTCAGGTAGCAACCTGTTTACAATGAAATCTCTCCTAGACACCTGGAAGGCCCGTTTCCTCGAAAGATGATTAAGATCAACCCAGGATTAAGCCAAATTTTAAGCAAGGTTTTCGTGTCTAAGAACATGCGACTCGAGCTTACAAAATACTGTTGAGCCTTTGCCCTGAGATACAGTAATGATAACACAAAATGTTACTCTAAGCAATACACAGGAAGGTAAATACAAAAACGGAATGAATTTTTAATCCTGGACTAGCGCTAATTCGCCTTTTAGGAACTGGTCCCTGGCTAAAAGAAGGACCCTTCGAAATGGTACCTGCCTTTCTTTACTCCTTTTAGTTGACTCTCACGAAGTAAGGGCATCACTCTAAGACGCACACATAAGTACCTGTCCCATGAATACCCGTCGAGAGAGTTGAATCTCTATATCTTCAGACTTTATATTACTAAGGGAGTGTAGGGGAACCTGACCTTGACATCCCCCACTGTCAGGTTATGGGTGCGACAGGGTATTAAAAACCCTACACTTCTGTCAAGGCCTATTCTAAATTCTTCCATGAAATAATTTTACCCCTGATACTGTTATTTTTAATTGCCGTTATCGATTTTTTTAGTGGGGGCCGGGGGAGACGGGAAGGAGGTTGCTAGTTTTCGTGTCGTTTGCCTGGGGCTCAGTGTCCCGTTTTCCCTGTTTTTTCTTTGTTGCTTTGTTAAGGAACAGAGAATGGTTTAACACGATGACTGGAATTTGGGGTTTGCTTATTCCGGTTCCAGACATCCGTCCCCAAAACAACTAGGTTAAACTTACCCTGTCCAAGGTCTATGTGAAATGTGCGTGACTAGAGGTTAGGTTCGCGTGACTATTCCAGCCGCGGAAGACTAAGTACTTCCGGCTTTCTTTTGGCCAGCGGTGCAATCAAAGATGGCGTCCGCTTTGGTGGAAAGCCCATCTGAACTAAATCAACTTTTTAGGGACATATCCTCGAAGTTTTCTCCAGCTGAATCAGAGGATGTCGTGAAGTCTTCAAAACGAATTTATGGAGAGCAATTTAAATCGCTGGGAAATCAAGATTTGTTGTCATGTTTGGATCGTTTGTGTAAGTTCGATTATGTCTCGAGTAAAAAACTGACTCTAATCAAGGAGTTCATTGCTACAAGATCAAACAATGAGCATGACATTAACAAAAGAGTTGAAGACTTTGAGACCTCCAACCCATCACAGCCAGAGCCGCAAAAGGAATTACACGGAAGAATTGAGGAGTTCAAGGAGATTACGGAAAAACTTAAAATGAAGCCTTTTGTTGTTAATTTGTATGGATCCGCTGGAGTGAGAAAGACAACTCTTGCAAGGAACATTTGTGATAAATGGGCTGGTGAGAAATACGTCTTTGATTTAAGAGAAGCTAAAGATATGACGGCGGTTTATCTGACCATCATGGGTAAACTTGACCTAAACATCCGAGACGTTCGTTTAGATATGGGTACTGCTGTTGGAAGAATTCGTGGCCTGTCGAAAGTGAGAAGCAAAGGTCCTCCTATTCTTTTACTTCTCGACAATGTGGATCATTTCACTGAAGGAAAGGGGAAGGAGGGCAAGAACGTAAAAACACAGTTTTTATACTTCCTGGGAAAGCTGTCAAAGGTTGATGACGAGAAAGGTTCATTAAATGTGCTTCTGACTTCAAGGACTCAGCTGAATGATTCAAAGAAGGTGTCTGATTTTAAGTTGCAACCTCTTACAAATAATTTTTCAGAGAAAATCTTGCTACCTACAGAAACATTTCATCTTGAGGCACAGCAGAAGAAACAGCTTCTTGACATCTGCAAAGGAGTCCCATTGCTGTTGAAAGGAATATCTGCAATTTTGAAACAAAGGAGAAAATCTCCCAGTGATCTGATTGATGGGATAGAAATGAACTCTGAAGAGGAAGCTGGAGTTCTTGTGAAACCAAAATATGAAGAGGGTACAGGAGAAAAACCTTTTAATTCAGAAGAAGAAGGCATCGATGATGAGCAAATGTCAGTGATAAGAGAAATGTTTGATACCCTGCCATCTGACATTTTGAAGGTTTCTGCTGTATCAGTATCCTTGTTTCATGGGCCCTTCACTGCTTCCACTGCTGCCAAAATTCTTGGTGTTAGCATGTCAGAAGCAGTGGCACAGCTTGAAGGACTAGTAACCAATGAAATTATTCACGTAGTTGACGAAGATGCCAAGCAGTTGATGTATGACATTCATCCACTTTTAAGAAAGTATGCAGAGAGCATTCAAAATGATGCCATGTTCTATGAATGCTACACTGAAGCGAAGGGTCGATTTTATGAGCACTTTATGTCAAAGATGAAACAAATTGCTGGATTAATAGAGGCGAGCTACATCAGAGCATTCAACGAGTTTAAAAGAGATCGTCCAAACTTTGAGTTTGCAATTGACCTTGCCTTGTTACCAGAGTACTTTACTGTTCCGGGTGGATACCATGAATGTGCATTGATTGTTTCCCTTTTTAATGCTATGTGGCCTGGAAAGAAGAAGACTAAGCTGTTCAATTCCTGGGCAGAGATGTGCAAAGATGATGGAAATTTAGGTATGTTTTTTCTTTTCATTATTTTGTTACAAGGAAATGACCAAAATCTCTGCATGGCTTTTTACCCAGGTGTCAAATTGGTTTCTAGCTTTTTTTTTTCATCCCAAATACTGCACTAAAAAATTTCAGAATTCTTTCATTGAAGCAAATGCTGTTGCCACCCATTTATTTAAACAAAGTGGACTTTTCCAATGCATGCTAACACCACAAGTACTACTGCCATAACCACACTTTTACCAATACTACTTCCACCACCACTACCACTACCCAGAATTTTCCCTAAATTTTAGCTGAGCAAGTAAGGGACCATCCATGGCCAGTAAAGCAAAAAATATGCACCAGAGGCCCACTTTGCTAGTGGGTAGTGGGGTAGTGGAATGAAGGACATGGCCCCACCCTTGCTGGGAAATTTAGGAGCTAAGTTCAGTCTGAAATGTCATTCCCTCATTTTAAGACCTATTTTATGCAAATCAGCCATTGTTATCTTTAGATAACAATTTAAAGGGGCTGTATCACGGCAGTCTACTTCATTTTGTTCAATTTTGCCAATTACTCGCCCTCCATCGCTATGGAACTTAAAGTAAGCAAAGAAATTACATGTAAATGACAAAATCAGAGATCCGAGACAAACAAATGTCTCTTGAGCATTTCTTTTGAAGTTGCAAGCAGCAGGGATCAACTTTGAAAAACTGTTAGGCTGAACAGTTTTCAAAAACCCTAATTTCAATCCGTTTCAATCTTCTTCAGTTTTGCCCATCCGTGGTATCTGTTGTTTCTGTTATGTTATTTTAACCTTCCTTTAAAGTTTTGAGCGGTTATTTTTATGTTTCTCTTAATTTAACGGGCATTTTGTAATTTCCTAATTTGGCTGAATTTCGTGACACAGCTCCTTTAAAACATGCATTTGATTCCAATAATTTTACTCTATGATAAAAAGAAAAGGTGTGTATATATACATGTACTTTATTACTTTTCCATATATATTTATTGATTTTTCTTGTGAGAATGTGATCGGATCATAACCTTTGTTTTGTAAAATCTACTAAACCTTCAAGCAGTTGCAGGTGGTTAGGACTGTTGCTTCAGATAGTAAATTTTTACTGTTTACCACCTGATAAGGAGAACAGTGACTACCACTACCGCCACCACCACCTCCACCACGACCACTTGCTTTGAAATTAATTTTAGAAATCAACATTAGCTTTTGTTATACTGTAAAATGTAATGGTCATACAAATGAAGCATTCTATTACTACCACTATACCACTACCACTACCACTACCACTCCTACTTCCACTACCACCACCACCACTGCTACCAATATCACAACCACCACTACTACTACCACCACCACTACCAATACAACAACCACTACTTCTACCACCACCGCCACCTCTACCATTACCATGACCACTACTACCAAAACTACTACTTCCTTTACTACTATTACTACAACTCTTGCTACCACCACCACCATTACCAGTACATGTACCATCACCAATACTACTACTACTACCACCACCACCACCAGCAGCAGCACCATAACCACTGCCACTGCCACTATTGCACCAGAGTACCACAGCCATCACCACTACTACTTTTGCCACCACTATGAATTACATGTAGCACTCTTAGTATTACCACCACTGCCACAACCACTTGCACTGCTACTGCTACTGTCCCTGCTGCTATCACCACAGTGCAACACAGCCTTCAAATTAACACTGCCATTTTCTCTAGCACTCTGACAACTGAGGTATATTTACAAAGAGAATCAAATAGACTTAGCGTGTCAAAGTCTACAATTGTTGCAAATGTAAAGTGCCCTCTTTTTGCAGGTTCTTTATTTCGCTCTCAGTTACGATGTTGGGAAGCTAGGCTGGTCTCCGAAGCTCAGGGTGCTCAGAAAGCCTTTGAAGTATTGGCGAAGGCATCCACGTCATTAAAACAAGTTGATGACAAATCTACCGAATCTTTCAAGCTGACCCAAGGGCTCTACTTGTGTTTTGAGGGAGAAATCTATTACCAAAACAGAGACTACCACAAAGCAATTGAATGCTTAGAGTCCTCCTTAGACCTCATGGAGGGTCCGTTAAAACTTGACACCAAAGTTGCCAGGTGTTACAACGCTCTAGGGAATTGTTATTACAGACTTGACAGAATGGAGAAAGCCCTTGAGTTCCTCAACAAGGCGCTTAAAATGCGAGAAGAATTATCCGGCTCTGATTATCACTACGACGTTGCATTTTACAAGAATCAGATTGGCACAGTTCATGAGCACAAAGGAGAGTATGAAGAGGCAGTGAAATGCTACAAAGATGCTCTCGAACTTTTAAAAGAGCTCAAATGCTTAGGATACAAAGATGAAGCTCTGTTTCGTAGAAATCTCGCCATTGTTTATGTTCACCAAAAAAAGTACAAAGAAGCCGAAGAGGAGGCAGAGAAGGCGTTTAAAATCAGACTTAAAATTCTTGGAAATCACCCGGATACTGTGCGAAGCATTTTTCAACTGGGAGTTATTCAAGCAAAATTAGAGACTTATGACAAAGCCTTGGAATTTTTCTTAAAAGCTTGGAAAATGGAGAAATTATTGGGTGCTGGGAACCAAAGTGCGGTTTGGAGGAAAATTATCACAGGCGTCTTTGATATGCATAAATTCTTAAAGAAGAAAGGCGCCGAAAAAGAAAAAGAAGAGTTTAGGCAAGATGCTTTGGCTTTTTGTGAGCGTTTCTGGAAAGAAGAGAAAGCTTCTCCACAGTTTAACTTTACTCGTTACAATAAGGGGATTATTGATGCCATACTATATCTACTGGAGAAAAGAACCAGTATGTTTGGATTGACAGATGAGAAAGAAAAAGCTCTCACAGACAAGTACGAAAGAGAAGCTCTTTGGTTCTATGATGGAATGCAAGGAATTACCGAGGAAAGCTTTAACAATGAATTTGACAGGGCCACAGACAATAAATTGCTTAATGTACTGCTTAGAGAGAGAACTGCCTTCTTGGACAAGATTCTTGATTTCTGTAGTCGACAAGATGAGCATGAAAAACTTCTTAAACACAAACAAGGGAAGATGACGCTGTTTAAGAAAGTCCTTGTCAGGTCTGACTTTGTTGGCGTGGAGACACAGAAGAAATTAACTTTAAAGACAGCCGTAGAAGAGTTGTATAAAGAATTAGGAGAGGAAAAGAGTATTGAGAAATTTCAAGAACACCTTTTGGCAACCTGGCAGAGGCAGTGGGAAGAAGAAAAAGGCAAAGAGGAGTCAAACGAAAAGTTGGTGGCGAGTTGGAGAATAATTAAAGGCATACTACAGCTATGCAAAGAACTTGAAATGAAAGATCTTCTTAAGAGATATGGAAAAGAAGCTTTGAGCTTTTGTGACAGATTGTTAGAAAGCTGGCGCGGTGAAATGAATGTTGAAGTAGAGGCCATGTTGCTGAAAACAATGGAAGAGTCGGCCCGGTGGATTGGAGATCTTAAAAGGTGGTATGCAATCCGTGATGCCTTACAAGTAAGAATGTTTAGTAATGCAACAAGTATTACTGTTATCTTGATGATCTTGTCTTTCAGTAATGCAGGGCTAATTTTTTGGCTCTCCTTCATGAACTCATACACTTTGATGACCTAGAGTAAAAATTTGTATTCTTACAATGTGGGATTGCCTACCTTTACACGTTGAAATTAAGTCCCAATGATCAAAATGGTATTTGAGACAACTTGAAAATGAGTTTGTTTAGGTAGTTTACTTTTTTCGGCCAAGTATAGGTCACACTTTCCAGTGTTAAAAGTTTGAACACAGAATTCGAAGTGACACGAATCAAGCTCTGTCTGCTATACATAGACATCCTTTGATCCTTGGGTGTTTAAGCAGTTATGGGCAGATAGCTGTCCCTACATTCTGAAGAGATCTGATTCGTTGGCTACTCACTTATTGTTATGTTAGTTTCTAAGGCATTTAAAAGATGGAATCCATCAGGAAATTGACTAATTTTAATTTTCAGTGGACAAAAAACCATCTACCAGAATAATTTAAAGCATATTGCATTCTTTTTTACACTTTTCAAGGGTTATAGATGTAATTAGTTAGTAATTTTGTAATAACACCAAATAATATTTCTTATGAGATCCCGATCCCGTTTTCACAATTCCTTTGAAATTTCTTTTCTTGGTCTCCCATGAGAGACTGTTTTTGGTGTTATTACAGATAACTAATTATATCTAGATCCCTGAAAAGTGAAAAAGGTTTTTTTGTCTACTCAGAATTAAGATTACTCAACTTCCTGACGGATTCTCTTTAATCCAATGTGTCTTTATTAATTTTTTTTTGTTAGGACTTGAGGGTGAATATACAGCCATGGACCACTCAAAAACTCAAAGGTAACATGATTATGATTTTCTGTTCAATTATTCTACCCACGTCATTTAGTTTATGTTGTTTTCTTTTTATTTCAGTGCAGTTACATTTGTATTATTTTCATTGTCAGTACCACATTTATTACTACGATGATGCTCATGGGTGACTTATCCCTCGGCCATGCCTTGTCTTTCCATATTTTATTTATCTGATGTGAGACACAGACAGCTGTACTACCCTGATAGCATTATAACGATGCATCAGGGCGCCCCACCATCGTATAGCACAAAATTGTGTTGAATTTAATGTCTGATAAGTCAGCGCAAAAGCCATATTATTTTCAGGATATTTCTTTAGAGCACGAACTAAAGTTATCTCTCAGGCGTAATTTAACTTATCCGTTGCTGTGTGTGAACACTTTGTTCCTTTCCTAGCTGATTCAGTACTTTATGTAGAAATGGACAGTAATCCTCTATCATTACCTATTAAATTCCTATATTAGAAAAGAAGCATTTGTTCGAGCCACCCATTTCGATGCATCTTGTTGTTGGGGAAGAGAAAGACGCTACTGAAATCGAAGCTGAGGCAAACGTTGAAGTTGTATCTGCGCAGGGAACTGAATTTGGATTACAAGGAGTGACTACAGAAGAGTCAGAAGTGGCTGGTGTTGCAGATGAGGAAGGCAAGGGAGTAGAATCCCACGGAGTATCGGATGAACAGGTTGACGTTGAGGCTGCGGAAAATGAAAGTGAAACCGAAAGTGAAGATTATGCAGAAGAACAGAAAGAAGATCTTGAGGTACATGAGCAAGTTACTGAGTTGGCAGGTGAGGAGGCCATGGAAGCTGAATCCCATGGAAGATCGGAAGAAGAGAGTGAAGAAGAGTCTGATGATGAAACCGAAACTCAAGGAGTTGATAGAGAAGGACAGAATGACAATGAAGAAGAGTCCAGGTAAGTGAAGGAGGAAGGAAGAGAAAGAAACGTTAAATAACTGACGAGTTCTTGTAGGTACATACGTTCCTTTGAGATCAAGAAACAACACTGCTTGCCGTCGTACAGGTGCAGCTCGCAGAAGAGATAAAGTACTTATAATTCTAACTAACTGATGATAAGAATTCCCGTGGCGGTGCCCCTTTAAAATATGAGACTATTTAATCACACTTAAACATTATAAATTGCCACTGCTAGTGTTGGTATAAAGAGTGTCTGGGTTAAAAATAAATAAATAAAACGTCCACAAGGTGTTGCAGCATATCTTAGATTCCATTGACTTCATAAGCTGCTACATTGCTGTTTTTATCCAACAAGGGGGTCAGACTTATAAAACAAAGCTTTGTTTTAGGAGACAGTAGGACACTGGACCTAGGATAATGGCTCTGTTCCATTATTTACAACTCGATTGTGGTACCACATTATCCTGTCCATTCAGTGTCCGCTTTTACAAATAGACGTTTTATTTTTTTAATCAACAAAATGTTGAAATATTTTGTAATTATTGCAGACGAATAGTAACGAGTGAAGGTACCAACTGGGCCATCGAGCAACTTGGTGTTCACCTGATGTTCCCTCTTGATGCTGTGTCTGAACCCACTCCAATAATGGTCCAAAGATGGAAAAACAGTGTCTGCTCACCCCCTTTGCAGGAGCACGAGGCCATTACTAGCAATGTTATTGAACTATCTTCCATGGATAGCCAAGATGTGAAATTTAACACCAAGGTGAAGCTTTCATTATCCCACAGCGCAACAAACCTACGGGGCTACGAGCTGGTGATAAAAAAGCTAACTGACAAGGAGACGAATAAATGGGGAGACCTGGATGCAACCAAGGACATACGTTCGCTTGAAGGTACATAAACGTCTCTTTGTACGGTAGAATAACGTACAGCGGACTGTTAATTGATCTTTGCATGAAGACCTAAATGCACTTGGAGGTGGACATCGACCAAACTCGATAGACTTTTAGCAAAGAACCGATTAGGCCTCATGGAAGTCACGCGCGTTGCAAATTCCGACCAAATTACAAACTCGCTTTCGGAAGGCACAGAGGAGTTTAAACTGAACCACAGAATAGACATATTATTTGATCCTGCTTTTCTTTAATCTTTTTCAACTTTCCATAGAGAAGGAAACATTATAGGTACTCATGAAACTTTTTCTTTTATCGCTTACAGAGATTGAAGACGATTTACCTTCTGACGTGGAAATACCAGACCTTTTCTTTCCTGTTGCTCAAGGTGACATCTCTGAGTGCTCGACATACGCAGTGGTTTGTCGTCTGAAGGTTTCTCCAACTTACACCATCACATCCAAAGGCGGTTCATTCAGTCATCCTGACTATCCAGGCGTGACAGTTACAATACCTGAGAACGCTGTTGCTCCTAGTGCAGAGTTCCCTTTGGAATTGAAAGTAAGTCTTACTTTCACTACTCACGTTGTTGTTTTTTCCACAATTGGCTAATAATTTGTTTAAGACTGTGAAGGTTTGAACCAAGGAGTCATTTCAAAAGTACATGTAGGTTGAGTTTGATCGTCCGGATGAACGTAGTCCTGAATAGGACTGTTGATGTGACCGACTCCATTATATATTCTCTCTTGACAACTGGTGATTTTCATTTCTAATGGAACAGGTGCAAGAAGTTTCAAATGAAGAGTTTGAAGAGGAAGGTGTATTTCTTGGGCCTGTTCTGCGAATCAATCGCTCTGAAGGTGTTCAGTTCTTGAAACCTGTCACAATTCGGCTGCCAATTTCCCTTCGAGAACAACAGGACTTGAATCTAAGCCCAATTTGTGGCTCAACATGTGATGTTAAAGTGTTGTTCCTGAACTCCGATGATAAGCAAAAAACATGGATTGATATCACTGATGATCTTGTGAACCCTCCAAGTCTTGATGGGAAGTTTGTTAGCTTCGAGGTCGAACGGTTCTCCAGGTAAGGCAGAAAATGTTCGCTTAGCAGAGGGATGGTTGTGTCGGTGAAATTGCGGGGCTCTGAAAAGAATCATGGCACTACATTGGTGACCGGGTGATTGAAACACGAAAATTTGGTTTATTCATTATGTCTATAAACTGAAATTACCATTGGCAAGAGATTCCAATCCTCAGCTTTTGAATTCCCTTTGTCTTTTAAAACAACTGCCAGTGGTTAGATAACACCTTTTACAAAGTGGCTTAACTTCACGTTATCGTGACGCCATATCTCGTAATCTCTGCAAACCAAATTTTTCTAAAATGCGTCTAAAGAAAGAACGAAAAGCTACTAAAGAGAAGAGGTTGTGACGCAACGTCGTTTCGAAAAAATCCAGAAGTCTTTCGGGGAAACATTTAACGTTCCCTCCCCTCTGTACGTTTTCATTCATTTCAAGTGTCTTAGCAATTCAGTCAGTTCAATATTGTTGTTGTTGCTTTTTTTAATTTAATTTTTTTACTTTTTCCTTCTTCTAGGTATTCGCATTTTGTTAAAAGGCGAAACAAAATATCTAGATTTCATAGAGAGAGAGTCATAAAAAAACTTAACAGCAGCACTTCGGTTCAGCCCAGACTGGCAGTCTTTTTTGCTTACTTTCGTCCAGATCTTTCTACAATTTTGCGTGTGATGTGTTGCCCTTCTCACCTTAAAGGACAGCAGATAAAAAAGCTTGAAAGAGAAGGCATAAGGCGGCCTATTTATAGCAATTCAAAGGAAGATATGACACCTGGCTACGACAAGGCATTCGTGTTAGTATCAGGAGGAATACGCCTACATGAAGAAGAAGACATGGGGGGAATATATCTTAGGTAAGTCGTCATCAATCAATCATTTATTTTAACACGTTACGTCAAGGAGCTAAAAAACTCGTTCAAAATACGAACGTGTAGTCATATATGATTGTGGTTCAATTTTATCGTTAATCAGTTGCACATTTCCCATAATACACCTTTTTTGCTCAACAAAATTTTACAATAGCAAAAACAAAAGCAAGCTGCTTTTTAACCTATTTCTATAGTGCATATACGACCCATCTACATTTGTTTCACCTAGTGTTGTATAGTACAAGGGAAGCCAGACAGATACATTCTTTCTAACTCAAGGCCTGTTTACATGCCTTACAAGCCCGCCAACCTCGTTCTCAGGGTTCTCTCCTACTCGTCCCTACTGAGCGATAGATAGACGGGTAGGAAAGAGACCCTGGGAACGAGGTTGACAATCCCGGGATCCACTTTCTCAAGATTATCGAATGCTCGCTAAGAATGTAAGCACGAAAATGGCCGGGTAAATGACATGGTTTGGCGGTTTACGCTCTTCTACTCTCACTCACTGTTCTTTCTGTAACTTTTCAGTAGTGTGGTTGGTGTAAAGCCTCAGCCAAAGGCATTTGCCGTGAATCTGATGTAACACGAATCGGTTACCCCAACTTAAAATGTTTACATGGGAAAATTTTACCCCAGCTGAGGGGTTTACCCGGTCTAGCAGACACCCCGCTTACCATGTAAACGTGATCAAATTAACATGAGAGATTATGTGGAGAGGCGGGTAACTAACAGGCCCTAAATTAGAAACTGTATCTGTCTAGCTTCCCTTGTACTATACTTTATTTTGTCAGCTTAGAGGACTTTGTCACTTTTATTGTTTTACCCCGAGGGATGATAGTTTATTTTATTTTCGTGCAGGTTCTTAGAACACGACCCAGACGATGCGGAGTTGGAAGTAGATTTTTTTCCTGGGGAAAACGTAGCGCGAGTGAAATTTTACGACACCTTAAAACACATAGAGCCTCCATTGTGTAGATTGCACTTGAAAACTCCCGCTCAGGGTACAGAGTATTCGGTAAGTCACTCAAGGGTATTTTAGACTTCAAACGCCTGATTTACAAAAGCATCTTAAGTTAATGGGGCATCGTCATGCAGCTGAGTTCCACAATTTTGGGCTAAAACTGAGCCAAAATTAGACTTAACATCCTCACTCCCATATTTCCTTTTAAAAGGACCTCTTACAGCAAGGAGCCCAAAAGTGTTACCGCTTTTGATTTATTCATATTCTTTCGTACAGATTTAATCCAATCAGGAGCCAGCTGGAAACTGTCCTCGGCTTCTGATTGGTTAATGCCTGCATGAAAGAATGTGAGTTACTGATTAAAGGAGGTCGCACTGTGAGCTCCTTGCTGTAACAGAATGATTGTCAAGGAAGTTTCGTGATCATTGTTTGGTAATTTTTCCACAATACTTCACAGGTGGCGCAATTTTTTTTCTGTTGGAGGTCATTACCGACCCCATTTCCATCCAGTAGTTAAAGTTGAGTTTGAGAGCAGTAGATTAACTTTAAGGTGGCTCGATACAGTTTCTTAGGGTGAATACCTCCCACGTTTGAGCGTAAACTATGTCGCCATAAACAAAGATTTGAAAAAATTAACACCACAGTTGTATTAAATAAAGATGAAACTTTGTTATGATCAGGGTTGCAATGACATCGTAGTTGTCGTGGCAACGAAATGACGCCATTACCTATTTTACTTGCAGCAGTATATCTCGGCTCTGGGAACTGTTCTTCCAAAATCGTTTACTAGAGCTTTTTCCTACAATAGTGGCCTTGATGTTCGTGAAGTTTAAGCGAAATCTGTGAGGACGTTATCGAGATATTTTGGGAAGAAGTTTTTTTGTTTAGAAATATGGTAAAAAATGGACAATCTTGATGTTCGACTGTTATCTGTGCTAAAAGAAGCGCTTTTGACACGCAATTTCACCTCATGGTAGTTTCAATCTTTTTAAAAACGTGTGTGAAAGATCATGGAGATACCTCCAGCCGATTGCTAGAAAGAGGGATTTGATTAGCATGTATCGGGGCGCTCTTATTAGAAATATGTAAACATTTCGGTCTACTTTAACAAATTAGCGAATAATTTTTAAACCGCTCGATAAATGTTTTAAAAAATTTAAGAGTCTTGAGATAAACCGTCCTTTTATATGACCTCTTAGTTTCAAGATTATTGATATATTGTAAGGTAGTATTGTATTGTCTCAAGGTTTCATTTTCACGTGAACAGCAGTAACTAACAATGCACTTGACATATGCAAAAATGCTAGCTATTGTTGTGCACGAAAATATGAATTGTCAACTCCGATGTCATTGCAACCCTGATCATAACAAAGTTTCATCTTTATCTAATACAACTGTGGTGTCAATTTTTCCAAATCTTTGTTTATCGCGACATAGTTTACGCTCAAACTTGGGAGGTATTGACCTTGTTACGCCGCAAAATGTAATAATCTCCGCAAAATGTAATATTAACGCAAAATGTAATAAGAATCGCCGCAAAATGTAATACTAACGCAAAATGTAATAACATTGACGCAAAATGTAATAATCTTTCGACGCAAATTGTAATAACTTTTCTAACGCATAATGTAATAACGCGAAATGTAATAATTTCCGAAATAACGACGTGCATGCTATTTCAAAATCGGTATTGTGGCTCAGTAATCAGTAGCTGATCCAGATCTTCATGTGAATTATTATTATTATTATTACTATTATTATTACTATTATTATTATTATCAATATTGATATTAATAATAGTAATAATATTTATTTTCTTCTTATTATTATTATTATTATTATTATTATTAATGAAATAACGGTTGAAACGTTGTGTTAGTATAGGTAATAGCATGATTTGTAGTGATATTTGGCATAAATACCACGAGCGATATTTCGAAATTGTTATCCGTAATTTCACGAGCCGCTAGGCGAGTGAAATTTGAGACAATTTTGAAATATCACGAGTGGTATTTATGCCAAACAGTCACGTACAAATCATGCTATTATTTGTTTATACTACTACCCACAAAAGGGTTGTAATTTTCCCATGTAAGTATTTCAAATTAAGCTGAAATACCACTGCTCTAAGCCAATCAAATTGCAGAAATTTCTCACGTAGTAGTATAACTTCCATAACCCCATAGGTCGCGGGGCAGGGTACGGATGGTTCTTTACTACAATATCTACTGGAAACAAAAAAGCCACCATTAATGCCCTTTGAGGCTACAACTCGTCCGTTCATATTTAATCACCGTTTCTGTTTTCCTATGTAACAATCATAATTATCATATTAGCCGCTATTTCTCTTTTTTCGTTAACCATCTTGCGTTATATGAGGGAAAAATGTGATGCTGTGTGTGTGCTGTGGATCATATTTTTGCCGTATGAGAGCCTTGAGTTGCATGGTTTAGTGTATTTTATAATCGATTTCTAAATGTCAGCGAATAAAAACGGTTATTGTTGCGTTCCTTACTTTGAAGATAATAAATGGTGTTCTGGTTCCGTATGTACATAAATAACGTTAAATTAGCTCTACCCTTGCACTCTGAACTAATGTTCAACGAAAATTTCATAGCTACTCATAGCGTTTTATTTGTTTGAGTAGTCAGGGAAATGCTCACACCAGTAGTCACCCATTTCACCTCTAGAAACATTTCCCGAATTTTCAATCTAACTATTCTGTCTTTTGTAGCTTTAGACATCTAACAGAAAATGTGCAATAATTCAATAGAAGTTAGAGCTACATAATATATTACTTCTGTATTGGGACTTGTTTTACGTTCAAATCAGCGGAAACAAACGTCCCATTCGGTTCCTTAAAGATGATTACATCTTCTCATTTCAACTGTTCCATTGTAATATTAGCAATAATAATAATAGCCAATATTAATAGTAATATTAATATTAATATCAATAATAGTAATAGCTTATAATTTAATTGAAAATCTGAATTCGCTACCGATGACTGAGCAACAATACTGATTTTGAAATAGCATGCAAGTCGTTATTCCGAAATTATTACATTTTGCGTTATTACATTATGCGTTAGAAAAGTTATTACAATTTGCGTTGAAAGATTATTACATTCTGCGTTGAAAACTTTATTACTTTTTGCGTCAATGTTATTACATTTTGCGTTAGTATTACATTTTGCGGCGATTCTTATTACATTTTGCGTTAATATTACATTTTCCGGCGATTATTACATTTCGCGGCGTAACAGACCTTGAAAAACTATATCGAGCCACCTTAAATAAAACTAAACCCTCTTTTCTTTCTTTTATTTTTCCTTTTTCTTTCTTTTGTATTTTTATTATAAAGCACTATTAATTAATAAAAAGTGAATAACTAAATAATTATGAATAAAACTGAACTGTTAGTATGGGTTTTCATTAATTCCAGTTTTTCAGTGTTACTTAAGCAATAGACCACACTTTCTATGGGTTTACCGCCGTGATAACCCACTCAGGATGTTGGGAGAACACGAGAAAAGTTTGTAACTCACGATCCGAAGGCGAGTTATTTACAAGCTTTTCTCGTGTTCTCCTAACATCCCAAGTGGGTTATCACTCTGGTAAATCCATAGAAAGTGTGGTCTACTGCTTTTATAAAATAACTGAAAGTTTTCTATGAGTTTACTGGCACAATTAACCATAGGTTTTTAACCAGTTAGAACGCGCGTACTATCTTAGTTATTTTATAAATAGTATTAACAGTGAAGATTGTAATGTAGCTCTTTTAAGGAATTGTGTCTTAACATTAGCCTTTTATTTTGAGACAATACTTAAGATACACACCTTAGTTTAGGGTAGCTTTGTGACTCCAGGGCCATGGCCCCTTTCAGAGGAATAAAACTCTTACATAAAGGAGAAATTTGCGCGCGTGCCTGCAGGAAGTTACAAGCTCATTTTGCTTCTTTAAACTCGCCAGATCGTTTGTCCATTTGACAGAAAATGTACCCCTTTCGTATACCTGAAACCTGAACCGCCCACCTTCACCCCCCCCCCCTGAGGAGGATTGGGGTTTAGGCTTTGCGGCCTAGATAGCGTTCTTTCTTCTGCTGTGAAGCTTGTTAGGCCCTATTGTGTGTCAAAGTCGTCCGAAGTTAAAATGTCTATAGGTGTTGCACCGTGAATTAATACGCGATATCTCAGCATCCGTCGGCTTTGTATGTTTTTGGAGGTTACATAGGTAAAGGTCTTACTACCACAGTAGTAGAGAATGGTAATCCTATCTGGGCAATGTTAAAATTGCAGAATGGTTAAATAAATTATAAAATATCACTTATTATGTCCTTTCAGGACTTTGAGGAACGTTGCCGACAGTCAAATGGTAAGTTTTTTCTCTTCTTTATGCGTTCCATTTCCGCTTTTCTTTCTGAATGGACAAGAGTAGTCCGAAGGAAGCAGAGTTCAAGCACCAGGACAGATGAGGACAGATATGTTAGATAACCGATTGTTGAATGTAAATTCAACAAATTCCAAAGGAAACGAAGTAAAAACTAATTGTTCTTATACCTTTAATACAGATGTTGATGGTCAAACGCGAACACTACCCGATACCTACAGGAGAAGAAATCATGCGTTTGTTTATCTGTCCGCTCAGTCTTTTTCATTTGATTTGTTTTTTACTCCTTTACTTGCTCATTTATTGATGATTGCCTGCATCATCCATCTATATCCACCCATCCATCCATTCATCCCGTCTGTCCGTCCGTCCGCCCGTCCGTCCATCTGTTTACCACCTACGCATGCACCTACTTACCCACAGTTAATCATTTATCGTTTTTGCATTCATAAAAATAATTTTTTTTGGTTTAACCATTGGCTTATTCTCTCATGCATGTCTCCTAGCTCGTCTGCTTCTTTACGCACATTTATTAATTCCTCCTTAGTCAAGAGTTATCTGGGGCAATATGGTTATATAGTACCTCAACTAAATGAATTTCGGTCGATTCGTTTAATTTTTTTTTTCTTTCACTCTTTGCATGAGAAGTGAAGAAAGGAATTCCAACTGACGATGAACTAGAAGATTTGTCAGAACAAATCCCTGACCACTGGAAAAAGCTTGGGCGTCGACTAGCATTCAGTGAAGCAGAGTTGCAAGGCTTTAACGGCCATGATGAGAAAGCCTACGCCATGTTGATGGCCTGGAAACAAAGAGAGGGCTCAGCTGCTACTTACCGTGTTCTGAACAAAGCGCTGTGTCACATACGCGTGAAACGTACAGATTTAGCACAACAATTTTGTTGCTACTGACTGATTAGATTGTTATTTATTTCTTTGCACTGAATCGACAGTAATGTACTTCTTACTTTTAATCGTTTAAATATCTTTTTCTTTTATATTAGTGTATACCAAGTAAAGGGTACGGTTATATATTTTTTGGTTTAATTTTATCGTTGGTTTAAATTTTCTTTTCTTTCGTTTTACGGTACGGTAATGTATGATAATTAGTTTGAAACAAAAGAAAAAAAAAAAGTTAAACCAAGAATAAAATTGAAGATCAACATATACCTGAATATAAGTCAGAACACACAGAGAGGTCGGATAAGAGACTCCACCCTCTCCTCTTGAGGTTTAGGTCATGAAAGTTCTGTTTTCGTATACTTTGAGTCAGGTCTGTGAGTTGTGCCTGGTATTAGTTACAGTGAGACAAGCTCTTAAACTCAGTTACTATATCTCACACGCTTATTCTAATATTTAATGTAAATATGTCTCTTCACAAAAAAGAAAAAATTTCTTAATATTATTATTCTACACACAGACACTCCACTCTAGAAACTGAGAAACGTTTAGTATTCTATCTTCATGTAATTCCTATAGTGTTAATAAGTTGTTAAGTACCTCAGGCAAATTGATAGGTGTACAGAATTAGTTTTATAAATGTTATTTAGTATATTAATATTTATTTTTAACATATGTACAGGTTTTTTGTTATTTTATGTATATACTTTAATTTTTATACAGATTCCTTTTTAGCTACATGTACGGGGCATCTTATTTACACCAAAGTTTTTTGTTAAATAAAGTACTGTATTTATTATATTTAATCAGAAGCATATGCTTCTGACTTAATCTAAAATGCATGATAGGAAACTGTTCTACCAGTCCATACACGTTCAAAATAAATACCTTGATAAAAAGGGTGATATTTGCCTATTTTTAGACTGGAAAAGTTCCAGGCACAATATATTTTCGCCACTAAGACAAAATTTGAATGGGACAGTGGGAGAAGAATTTGGACTTGGAAAGTAAGATTTGTTTTTGCCTCTGACATCTTTCAGGAGGCTCTTCTTGGATTTTTATGATTGCAGTAATCTGCCATAAAGTCGTCATTGTCAATAAACCAATGGGCAGGGAAACAGGTTTGGCTAAATGTCTCAAAATATTTTTTTTTTTACTTTTTTCTTTGATTCATGTTGTTGTTGTTTCATGTTGTTTTTCCACTGGTTGTTATTCGGAGACAAAAAGGCAATTCCTTGGGATGGTTGGGTTTTTAATGTTGCGATACAATCAAATCTTTCCTAGACACCTGAAGGGCCCGTTTCCTGGAAAGATGATTAAGTTTAATCCAGGATTAAGCCAAATTTTAAGCAAGGTTTTCGTGTCTAAGAACATGAAACTCGAGCTTACAAAATACTGTTGAGCCTTTACTCTGAGATACAGTAATGAGAACACAGAATGTTACTCTAAGCAATGCACAGGAAGGTAAAATACAAAAACGGAATGAATTTTTAATTCTGGATTAGCGCTAATTCGCCTTTCAGGAACTGGGCCCTGGCTAAAAGAAGGACCCATCGAAATGGTCCCTGCCTTTCTTTACTCCTTACAGTTGACTCTCACGAAGTAAGGACATCACTCTAAGACGCACACATAAGTACCTGTCCCATAAATACCCATCGAGAGAGTTGAATCTCTATCTTCAGACTTTATATACTTTATAGGGAGTGTAGGTGAACCTGACCTTGACCCCCCCCCCCCCCATCCTGTCAGGGTATGGGTGGGACAGGCTATTTAAGGTCCTAACCTCTTCTATCGAGCTACGGTATTCTAAATTCTTCCATGAAAATAATTATACCCCTGATACTGTTATTTTATATCGCCATTATCGCCTTTTTTAGTGGGGGCGGGGGGAGACGGGAAGGAGATTGCTAGCTTTCGTGTCGTTTGCCTGCGGTTCAGTGTACCGTTTTCCCTTTTTTTTCTTTCTTGCTTTGTTTTGCAACAGAGAATGGTTTAACACGATGACTGGAATTTGGGGTTTGCTTATTCCGGTTCCAGACATCCGTCCCCAAAACAACTAGGTTAAACTTACCCTGTCCAAGGTCTATATAAAATGTGCGTGACTAGAGGTTAGGTTCGCGTGACTATTCCAGCCGCGGAAGACTAAGTACTTCCGGCTTTCTTTTGGCCAGCGGTGCAATCAAAGATGGCGTCCGCTTTGGTGGAAAGCCCATCTGAACTAAATCAACTTTTTAGGGACATATCCTCGAAGTTTTCTCCAGCTGAATCTGAGGATGTCGTGAAGTCTTCAAAACGAATTTATGGAGAGCAATTTAAATCGCTGGGAAATCAAGATTTGTTGTCATGTTTGGATCGTTTGTGTAAGTTCGGTTATGTCTCGAGTAAAAAACTGACTCTAATCAAGGAGTTCATTGCTACAAGATCAAACAATGAGCATGACATTAACAAAAGAGTTGAAGACTTTGAGACCTCTCACCCATCACAGCCTGAGCCGCAAAAGGAATTGCACGAAAGAATTGAGGAGTTCAAGGAGATTACGGAAAAACTTAAAATGAAGCCTTTTGTTGTTAATTTGTATGGATCCGCTGGAGTGGGAAAGACAACTCTTGCTAGGAACATTTGTGATAAATGGGCTGGTGAGAAGTATGTCTTTGATTTAAGAGAAGCTAAAGATATGACGGCGGTTTATCTGAACATCATGGGTATACTTGACCTAAACATCCAAGACGTTCGTTTAGATATGGGTACTGTTGTTGGAAGAATTCATGGCCTGTTGAAAGTGAGAAGCAAAGGTCCTCCTATTCTTTTACTTCTCGACAATGTGGATCATTTCACTGAAGGAAAGGGAAAGGAGGGCAAGAACGTAAAAACACAGTTTTTATACTTCCTGGGAAAGCTGTCAAAGGTTGATGACGAGAAAGGTTCATTAAATGTGCTTCTGACTTCAAGGACTCAGCTGAATGATTCAGAGAAGGTGTCTGATTTTAAGTTGCAACCTCTTACAAATAATTTTTCAGAGAAAATCTTGCTACCTACGGAAACATTTCATGTTGAGGCACAGCAGAAGAAACAGCTTCTTGACATCTGCAAAGGAGTCCCATTGCTGTTGAAAGGAATATCTGCAATTTTGAAACAAAGGAGAAAATCTCCCAGTGATCTGATTGATGGGATAGAAATGAACTCTAAAGAGGAAGCTGGAGTTCCTGTGAAATCAAAATATGAAGAGGGTACAGGAGAAAAACCTTTTAATTCTGAAGAAGAAGGCATCGATGATGAGCAAATGTCAGTGATAAGAGAAATGTTTGATACCCTGCCATCTGACATTTTGAAGGTTTCTGCTGTATCAGTATCCTTGTTTCATGGGCCCTTCACTGCTTCCACTGCTGCCAAAATTCTTGGTGTTAGCATGTCAGAAGCAGTGGCACAGCTTGAAGGACTAGTAACCAATGAAATTATTCACGTAGTTGACGAAGATGCCAAGCAGTTGATGTATGACATTCATCCACTTTTAAGAAAGTATGCAGACAGCATTCAAAATGATGCCATGTTCTATGAATCCTACACTGAAGCAAAGGGTCGATTTTATGAGCACTTTATGTCAAAGATGAAACGAATTGCTGGATTAATAGAGGCGAGCTACATCAGAGCATTCAATGAGTTTAAAAGAGATCGTCCAAACTTTGAGTTTGCAATTGACCTTGCCTTGTTACCAGAGTACTTTACTGTTCCGGGTGGATACCATGAATGTGCATTGATTGTTTCCCTTTTTAATGCCATGTGGCCTGGAAAGAAGCAGACTAAGCTGTTCAATTCCTGGGCAGAGATGTGCAAAGATGATGGGAACTTAGGTATGTTTTTTCTTTTCAGTATTTTGTTACAAGGAAATGACCAAAATCTCTGCATGACTTTTTACCCAGGTGTCAAATTGGTTTCTAGCTATTTATTTTCATCCCAGATACTGCACTACAAAATTTCAGAATTCTTTCATTGAAGCAAATGCTGTTGCCACCCATTTATTTAAACAAAGTGGACTTTTCCAATGCATGCTAACACCACAAGTACTACTGCCATAACCACACTTTTACCAATACTACTTCCACCACCACTACCACTACCCAGAATTTTCCCTAAATTTTAGCTGAGCAAGTAAGGGACCATCCATGGCCAGTAAAGCAAAAAATATGCACCAGAGGCCCACTTTGCTGGTGGGTAGGGGGGTAGTGGAATGAGGGACATGGCCCCCCTTGCTGGGAAATTTAGGAGCTAAGTTCAGTCTGTAATGTCATTCCCTCATTTTAAGACCTATTTTATGCAAATCAGCCATTGTTATCTTTAGATAACAATTTAAAACATGCATTTGATTCCAATAATTTTACTCTGTCTTCAATGATCTCTTTCTAAATGTATGGCCCATGATAAAAAGAAAAGGTGTGTATATATACATGTACTTTATTACTTTTCCATATATATTTATTGATTTTTCTTGTGAGAATGTGATCGGATCATAACCTTTGTTTTGTAAAATCTACTAAACCTTCAAGCAGTTGCAGATGGTTAGAACTGTTGCTTCAGATAGTAAATTTTTACTGTTTACCACCTCATAAGGAGAACAGTGACTACCACTACCGCCACCACCACCTCCACCACGACCACTTGCTTTGAAATTAATTTTAGAAATCAACATTAGCTTTTGTTATACTGTAAAATGTAATGGTCATACAAATGAAGCATTCTATTACTACCACTATACCACTACCACTACCACTACCACTACTACTTCCACTTCCACCACCACTACTAGCTCCACTACCACCACCACCACTGCTACCAATTTCACAACCACCACTACTGCTACCACCACCACTACCAATACAACAACCACTACTTCTACCACCACCGCCACCTCTACCATTACCATGACCACTACTACCAAAACTACTACTTCCTTTACTACTATTACTACAACTGTTGCTACCACCACCACCATTACCAGTACATGTACCATCACCAATACTACTACTACTACTACTACCACCACCACCACCAGCAGCAGCACCATAACCACTGCCACTGCCACTATTGCACCAGAGTACCACAGCCATCACCACTACTACTTTTGCCACCACTATGAATTACATGTAGCACTCTTAGTATTACCACCACTGCCACAATCACTTGCACTGCTACTGCTACTGTCCCTGCTGCTATCACCACAGTGCAACACAGCCTTCAAATTAACACTGCCATTTTTTCTAGCACTCTGACAACTATAGGTATATTTACAAAGAGAATCAAATAGACTCAGCGTGTGAAAGTTTACAATTGTTGCAAATGTAAAGTGCCCTCTTTTTGCAGGTTCTTTATTTCGCTCTCAGTTACGATGTTGGGAAGCAAGGCTGGTCTCCGAAGGTCAGGGTGCTCATAAAGCCTTTGAAGTATTGGCGAAGGCATCCACGTCATTAAAACAAGTTGATGACAAATCTACCGAATCTTTCAAGCTGACCCAAGGGCTCTACTTGTATTTTGAGGGAGAAATCTATTACCAAAACAGAGACTACCACAAAGCGATTGAATGCTTAGAGTCCTCCTTAGACCTCACCGAGGGTCCGTTAAAACTTGACACCAATGTTGCCAGGTGTTACAACGCTCTAGGGAATTGTTATTACGGACTTGACAGACCGGAGAAAGCCCTCGAGTTTTACAGCAAGGCACTGAAAATGCGAGAAGAATTATCCGGCTCTGATTATCATTACGACATGCCAGTTTACAAGAATCAGATTGGCACAGTTCATGAGCACAAAGGAGAGTATGAAGAGGCAGTGAAATGCTACAAAGATGCTCTCGAACTTTTAGAAAAGCTCAAATGTTTGGGATATGAAGATGAAGCACTGTTTCGTAGAAATCTCGCCAATGTTTACGTTCGCCAAGAAAAGTACAAAGAAGCCGGAGAGGAGGCAAAGAAGGCGGTTAAAATCAGACTTAAAATTCTTGGAAATCACCCGGATACCGTGCGGAGCATTTTTCAACAGGGACTTATTCAAGCAAACTTAAAGGCTTATGACAAAGCCTTGGACTTTTTCTTAGAAGCTTGGGAAATGGAGAAATTATTGGGTGCTGGGAACCACAGTGCGGTTTGGAGGCTTATTATTAAAGACGTCTTTGATATGCATGAATTCTTAGAGAAGAAAGGCGCCGAAAAAGAAAAAGAAGAGTTTAGGCAAGACGCTTTGGCGTTTTGTGAGCGTTTCTGGAAAGAAGAGAAAGACAAAGAGAAAGAGAAAGCTTCTCCACAATTTAACTTTACTCCTTACAATAAGGAGATTATTGACGCCATACTATTTCTACTGAAGAAAAGAACCAGTAAGTTTGGAATGACAGATAAGAAAGAAAAAGCTCTCACAGACAAATACGAAAAAGAAGCTCTTTGGTTCTATGATGGAATGCAAGGAATTACTGAGCAAAGCTTTAACAATGAATTTGACGGGGCAACAGACAACAAAGTGCTTAATGAACTGCTGAGAGAGAGAACTGCCTTCTTGGACAAGTTAATTGAATTCTCTAGTCGACACGATGAGCATGAAAAACTTCGTAAGCACAAACAGGGGAAGATGAAACTGTTTAAGAAAGTCCTTCTCAGGTCTGACTTTGTTGGCGCGAAGACACAGGACAAATCAACGCTGAGGAAAGCCGTAGAAAATTTGTATGAAGACTTCGGAGAGAAAGGGAGTATTAAAGGTTTTCGAGAAAACCTCTTGACAACCTGGCAAAGGCAGTGGGAAGAAGGAAAAGACAAAGAGGAGCCAAGAGAAAAGTTGTTGACGAGTTGGAGAATAATCAACGGAATACTACAGCTATGCCAAGAACTTGAAATGAAAGATCTTTGTAAGAGATACGGAAAAGAAGCTTTGAGCTTTGGTGATAGATTGTTAGAAATTCGGCGCAGTGAGATGAAGAATGTTGAGATAAAAAGATTGCTGAATGAACTGAAAGAGGTGGCCACGTGGATTGGAGATCGTAAAAGAAAGAATGAATACCGCGATGCCTTACAGGTAAGAATGTTTAGTAATGCAACAAGTATTAGTGTTTTCTCGATGAACTTGCACCTCTTGCCGATCCAGTGTTAAGGTTTTACCCCATTTTTGTTTAGAATAAATCATATATGTTTTGTACTTGGCCGTAGGTCTTGGAGGCCGTCGAGATGAACATCCCCACTTGACTTTTTCTTTGATAGAGAGGTACCTCGAGACCTATTGTAACACCATCATTGTTCTGGTAGGATATTGAAAGGCAAAATTGGAAAGTTTCTGAAAAAATTGCATTGTGACACTTCTGACAAAAAGGAGGTCAGAAACATTCAGCTTAGAAAGTGGTGAAAGCGACAACAAAAGTCAAGCGCCCGTTTGCTATTTGAAATAAGTCTGTCATGTTGTTATAAGGCCGTATGCTTCATAACTCGATATTTATCTGTTTTGCTTGACGTACTTTTGCTAGGTTTTGAAGAAGGAAAAGGAAGCAGGTCCCGGGCTAATTCAAAAAGGTAGCGTTTGTCATATTTTTCCTTTAAAAAAAATACAAGAGACATGGGCAAAAATGGTCTGTATCAGAGAAGTTGTCTTGCTTGCTTAACCTGTAAATGTTGTTCTTTTTTGAGGTTCGTTATGTAGTTGTCGTCGTGTTACTGTTTAATTAAGCTCAGCTGATCTTTTCGTTTTGATATTCGTAGACGATTTTTGTTTATATCTGAACCAGGTATTTAATGGTACTCCCATAATTTTATTAATTATAATTATTTCCCATAGTTAAGGCCTTTCTTTATCCTAGTCATTCAAGCGTTGACCCCGCAAGTCCTTAGAGCAGAAAAAAAACCTTCACCCGAACAAACCCCTAAGAGTGGTAGTGAAGAGGAAGAGGAATTTGAAGCTGATGAAGACATTGAAGCGATATCTTCAGGAGCCACTCAGGTAGAAGAATCTGAGGCAGTGGCCACAGAAGTGCCAGGGGAAGTTTTGGAGGTAGTGTCTGAAGAAGAGGTTGAAGTTGGGTCTGAGGGCGACACTGAAGTAGAAGGTGGTTATGTAGCTGTATTCGAGTAAGTATCATTTTTGTACTCAACAATTTATTCTTCGAGTCGACAATAATTATTTAAACGTATTTTTCCCTTCATATCAAGGTGAGAGAATTGAACATGATTACTAACCGCACGGTCACACTGCCTCCCTTAAAAATGGCCTTCATTGTCGTTATGAGAAAAAAAGGTAAAGAAAGAAAGAAAGAAAAGAGGACGCACACTCACCAGCCGCTAGCAGGTGCAGTCGAAACTCCCACAACGGCCACCTTGGGGACAGAAGAACGTGGCAGTTGTGGAGAGGTGGCCGTTATGGGATGAAAAATTTATTTTAGACAGTATTGTGCTACGTTCCTGCGTACTTTATCCCATAACGGTAATCCAATCATATATAATATACAGAGATAGAATACACAAAAAACTTCAATAATGTTTTGAATCAAAATTTTAACGCGACAACCAATCGACAAGGTTCCCAACATTTGCTAAAAGTATCGTAGACCATTAATATTTATGCTTACTGCAGCAGTAAAAATGGAACACAATCAAAATACAATCGCCGCGATTAATCATGCAACGCGCCATAGGGATCAAATTTCATAATCATTCTGGACTTTTTTATCAGTCGCTGAAAAAACTGGACTTTGTCGAGAGATTATCTTGGCAGTTGGAGACAGGCTTTAGTGGCCATTGCCGTTATAGGGAGGTTTAAACAAGGTATGTACTGTAGGTACTGTCCACCGGAACAAAAAAGTGACCGTTAGTGGATGTTAGACTGTGTCATGAAGTCTCTAAACGTCGTAATCTAGACTATAAGGTACATGGGCCCCGGTCACTATTTAGTGTCCTGTCCATTCAGTTTTTTTTCTAATAGACGACGTATTGAAACCAACCAACTACTGACACTCTAATTGATTGCAGAGGAACAGTATCAAGTGAAGGTACTAACTGGCCATGGGCCGTTAAACAAGAGGGTGTTCTCGTGATGTTTCTTCCCGATGCTGTGTCTGAGCCTACGCCATTAGTGGTCCACAGGTGGAAATACAGTGCCTGTTCACCCCCTTTGCAGGAGCATGAGGCCATTACTAGTAATGTTATTGAACTATCTTCTATCAGTGGCCAAGGTCAGAAATTTAACACCAAGGTAAAGTTGTCGCTATCTCACAGTGCGCCGGACCTACTTGGCTATGAGCTGGTGATAAAAAGGCTGATTGACAAGGAGAATAATGAATGGGAAGATCTGGATGGAACCAGGAACGTGCGGTGTCGACAAGGTGTAGAAAATTATTCCATATACAGTTGACTAGCTGAAACTAGAACCGGTAACTCGAAACTCGTGCTAACTCGAACCCAAAAGTGAAGAATTCCCTGGATTGACTCCATACTTCTCGCTGTAATTTTTTCTGAATAACTCGAACTCTTGCTACTTTTAACCTCTCGGTAACTTGAAGTCAGTTTCCTCCTTCGCATTCATCAACAGACACACTGCGCTAATAAACATAAGCGGAAAAGAAAAAAAAAGCACATTGCGAGAAAGAAAGACGCACTAATTTCCCATTTTTCCTTCATTTTTCCTATCTCTCGAAAACTCGAACCTTGCACGATTTTTCTTAAGGGAAACTGTAGCAGATTGTTATGTCGATCATTGATTTATCTTTCACAGACCTTATTTTAGTGAGATCGATGAGGTCTACGCATCTACAATGCTGTGTCGCATAAATTGGCCCTTTTCCCTTTGAGAGATAGGGATTTAGTATTGTGGATTTCCTCTTTCAACCTGAAGGTCTAATTAGTTTCCTGAGCGGGAAGAGAGAGAGAGGCGGGGGGGAGGAGATGGGGAGACACCAAAGTTGTATTTTAATTAGTATCTGATTCTTATTACAGAGATCGAGGATGTTTATCCTTCTCACATAGAAATACCGAGCGTATATTTTCCGCTTGCCCAGGCTGACATAACTGAGTGCTCAACGTACACCGTAGTTTGTCGTCTCAAGGCTTCTCCAACTTACACCATCACATCCAAAGGCGGTTCATTCAGCCATCCTGACTATCCAGGCGTGACAGTTACAATCCCTGAGAATGCTGTTGCTTCTAACGCGAAATGTCCTTTGGAGTTAAAGGTTCGTTTCATCTTGTACTTCCGTTTTACTGTAGCGGAGTTGCAAAGCTGTGCTGAAGCATGAATATGAGGGCCAAACTAGCGACAAATTTTAGAAGTTAACTGACTTCTTGAGGAGGAAAACCTAGGGTCTGGCGGCTCGATGAGCTAACTGACTGGCCGATTAATGCTCGTTTGGTGAGATCTTTGTCGCTTGAGTTGTTCGGTCGTCTTAGTCCCACGTCAATTCTGGGCTTTGAAAAAAAATTAGTTAAATTTACAGCTAGTGATTATTGTTTCTAACGGTACAGGTACAAGAAGTTCCCAATAAAGAATTTGTAAGGGAAGATGTATTTCTTGGTCCTGTACTGCGAGTCAACTGCTTTGAAGCTGTTCAGTTCTTGAAACCTGTCATCATTCAATTACCAATTTGTCTTCGAGGGCAACAAGCCTTTAATCAAGAACCCACAACTTGTCGCGTCAGAGTATTGTTCCGCAATTCTGATGATGAACAGAAAGAATGGATTGATGTCACTGATGATCTTGTAAAACCTCCAAGTTTTGATGGAGATTTCGTAAACATCTACGTGGAGCGATTCTCATGGTAAGACTAAGGAAGAAGGTAGATAAATGGTTTGTTGGACTACTTCAGTAAATAACTCACTGTAGGCATTTTAATCTATCATCCCTGTCATTGAATTTACGAATTATTACTTTGCCAGAAGAGAAAATTTAAAGGCATTAAAATAAATTGTTTGCGTTCCTTTGATAAACTCGATGGTTTTAATTCGCTTTAAAGTATGTAAGTGACCTGAGAGAAAATGTTTAAACTGCCATGCTTTTTTTTTGTTTTTCTGTGGTGGCTACTAAACACTTTTACTCGAGAATATAGTTCCAAGTCTTTCCGTCATGCACAGGAACCTTATGCTACGTGGCTCAGTTTTTCAACATTGACTGGACCTATATTACGTAGGTATATTATATTATACGACGGTGACGGCTACGAAAACGTCTCGTTAAAATTCGTTAAATTCTAAAAGACGGCTGTATGAAAGTTCAAGGAAAGGAAGTCGTTGTGTTGTGTTCACGTCCTCCACAAAACGTGAAATTAGGCAGTAACGGCAAAGAATTGTCCAAAAAAAGCGTTATGCACGCGCAAAGCTTTTGTTTTGCTAATTCAAACCTCTTCAGTGCTTATTTTTGACTTTCTCGTTACTCTCGCCGTCTTCGTTGCTTAACTGAGCTCCCTATTATAGCGGTTGGCGACTGGGGCGCGGCATTCTCTTCTGTCATTTCAAGAATCCTTATCAACACAGTGCCACTAACCTTTTTTATTATTATTTTAGGTATTTCCCTTTTCTGGTTCTGAGAAAAGCATACTCCAGCATTGCTGAACTGACACTTCGAATTTTTTACCAGCCCAAACAAGCAGACTTCGTCGCTTACTTTCGTCAGGATTTTCCAGACATTTTGTGCCTTATTTGCTGCCCTTCTCACCTAACAGGAAAAGTGATAGGCGATCTTGAAGAAAAAGAAATAACGCCTATTTACGGAAGTTCAGACATAGACATGATTCCTGGGCATGACAGAGCATTCGTACATGTATCAGAGGGAATAAGCCCATTTAGTGAGGAAGATATGAAGGATCTTTATCTCATGTAAGTCTATATAAAAACCACATTGCGTGCAACACATAAAACACAAATCAAATTTTTAAACATCTCCTAACTTTCACAAAGCCGTCATTCCGCGGACTATGTTAAGGGAAGCACTTAAAAGTCGCTCATTTATACATTACTTAATCAAAAACCGTTCTCTGCATATCTTGTTGGATGCCAAAAAAACCTAAAATTGTCGTCTTAAATTCATCCAATCCGGGGAACTGTAGCCCTGGGAACATCGACTTGCTGTCAACGGAAGGTTAACCTTTTGAAAGGAAAGGTTTATTGCAGCACATGAACTGTCAGCATTAGCGAGGTTAACCTTCTGTGAGAGTCTGTTGATTAGGCAAGAAACAAGTGTCCGTTGTCCGCATTAAATGGGTTGAATGTAGAGAAAATGTAAAGGATTTCTTTCCCCAGGGACAAAGCAAACTGTCCGTAATAATGAGGTGTCTGTATTAAGCGGGTGTCCGTAAAGTGGGGTTCGAAGAAAACATGAAGATGTATTGTATGAGGCTTTTTTTTCCGGAGGTGGGGGGGGGTACTCCCTCTTATGGCCTAGTCGGGGATGTGCCGCTAAACAGGGTATGGTTATTGACCTTCTTGTCCCAAAGGGTGTATTATTTCGTTTTACCTGCAAGATTGATTTAATTTGCTAGATGAATTTTCGTTCTGGCGCGCATTTTTTCCTTTGTTGGGGTAATAAAATTGAGGGTGTTGTCCTGCTGCAGGGTATGTATTTTAGCAATTTTTTTTCCTAACCAGGGTCAGGGTTTCAAACTCTCAGTGACTCACCTATACCCAAATATTGGTCAAGTACCCCCACCCGGTCTTTTTTGTTAAATTCACTCCGGTTAAGAATCTTTGGCTTTGTGGTATCACTTCATGGGTACAGTAGACTCTCTGTTAACGGACACCTCTATAAGACGGACACCTCTGTAAAACGGACACTTAGAGTTGGTCCCTGCCTTTCTTCACTCCATTTATTTGACTCGCTACAAGACTGACACCTCTCTAAGACGGACACTTAGTGCCGGTCCCAAAGGTGTCCGTCTTAGAGAGAGTTGAATGTATATTCTTTTCAATTTATGCAGGTTAAGAGAGGAACAACCGTTTAAGAAAGACTTACGAGTTCTTCTGTTTAATAACAAAGACCCAGCACAAGTAGAATTTTGTAGGACCTTAGAACAAACAGGGAGAACTCCGTTGTGTAAATTGCTCTTAAAAATTCCCACTCAGAGCACTGATCATACGGTAAGTTGTACTAGTCATTTGGGGCTTAGGAATTTGAACAGATTCGGGCTCCTGTAAATTGTAAAATATAATTTGATCTTATAGAATTTTATTTCAAACAGCAGCCGCGAAAAAATAAGAACTTTGTTAAAATCTTTGTAGCAAAAAGGCTGTGAATGTTGTGCAGGGCTATCAATATTATCCAAAATTTCAGGATTGGTTGTTTCGAAACGATCAGTTTGTACCGTAAGCCATACGAAAATTGCCACTGTACATCTGAAGTACAAAACCCATCACCTCGTTGCCTACAGTATAAAGGCACTTGGCCATTGCACTGATTTGGTGGACGTCGCGCACACACAAAAACTACTCTTGTTTAGAAGCGCAGTAATTCTATTTCAAAACTAAGCGAAATGTATATGCTTATAATAACTAATGCTTCCTTGAATTGACCACGTATTGCGAAATCAACGGTGGGAAAAATTTTTAATTTGGAGCAGAGTTCGGAAAGTAGAAACGAATATTTTTGCAAATGATATTCCGCGTGGGAAAGGAATTAGCTTATCTGGGTAGCAGTTCCCTCTTTCTTCCAGTTTTCCTTGTTTGCCCTTTAAAGTCTCATATTCCTGGTCCTCCTTCCTAATACTGTAAAGCATAAAGATTAAAAGCAACGAATTTTTCCAGTTCTCTTACTTAATATATTAGCTTGTTGTCTTTGCAGCCGCTGTGTGCCACGCCACTTTTATAGGGATGAGGTTCCGATAGACAGTGCAAAACCATTAACTAAAATTATATTTTGTCCAGGCAAATTAAGTTCATATGATGTTAATCGTTCCTACTCTTTTTACGTTTAAATTTGCCAATCTTAATGCAGTACTTCTTTTGTCTTTCTGTAGGTCAGCACAATTGACAGAGCGTCAATTTCTTTTGATAGAAGACCTTTAAGAGTGACTCTTTTGGGAGACGAATGGGGATCCTCAAAGGGCGGTTTGTCTACGCTGAACAGAGAACTAGCAAAGCACCTGGCACGTCAGCCTGATGTAGAGGTAGACGTTCTACTGCTACGTTACGATGAAAAAGAGAAGCGGGAAGCTCATGAATTTAATGTGCGTCTTGCCACACCAGACGTGAAGGCCACGTCTGATCGCATCATGAAATTGTGTTTTCCTTCTGATGATCTCAATATTGACGTCGTTATAGGCCATGGTCAGAAGCTCGGAGTACCAGCCCAGGTCATAGCAGAACAGCGCAGGTGCAAACGAGTTCATATGGTACACACTGCCAGTGAAGAGCTTGCAATGTTTAAGGAAGGCGAAACAGCGATTCCTGAAGGCGAGGAAAAACAACGAACTGAAATAGATTTGTGTAAGGAAGCTGATTTGGTCGTGGCCGTTGGACCAAAGCTAAAGGAAGCTGTCTCAGCCAAACTTCGGTTGTACGGCAGAGATGAAGATGTGATGGATATCACACCTGGAATTTTTTCGGAGTTCGCAGAGTCGAAGCAAGCCAGTCAGGAGAGAGAAGAGTTCCGCATCTTAGTGTTTGGTCGGGGTGACTCGAAAGATTTTAAACTAAAGGGTTACGATATAGCTGCTAAAGCTATAGCAGGCTTAAAGGACAAAACCTACCGTCTAAAATTTGTCGGGGCGCCAAATGGGAAAGAAAAAGAGGTAACAGACGAATTTTTGAAATGTGGCATTCCTTCTTCTCAGCTAATTGTGCAGGGCTTTGTTAAGAGTCGCGACACACTTAAGCTTTTCTTTTTCGAGGCGGATCTCGCTGTTATGCCGTCTCGAACGGAAGGCTTTGGCCTCACCGCTCTTGAAGCACTTTCCGCTGGACTTCCGATTTTGGTGAGCGAAAATTCGGGACTCGGAAAAGCTATTCAAACTATTCCTTTTGGAAGGGCATTTTTGGTTGATTCTGACAATGCCGAAGAATGGGGCAAAGCTATTAGTCGCGTTAGGCAAACGCCAAGGGAAATCCGGCTAAAGGAAGCAAGCTCTCTCCGAGAGGCCTACGACAAAAAGTACAAGTGGGAGACAGAATGTGAGAAGCTTGTAAAAAAAATGCGAGCTTCTTTTTTAATTCACTCTGGGTCTAAAAACTTTAGTGGTGTGTTTCGTCGTTTCTTATCCGTTTAAAAATGAAAGACTGTTGAATACAACAATGCTAACACTGCCCGCAGTTTGTCAATAAGGCTGGAGAAATCCCCGGAAGCATTCCACTACTTTTTAAATTACCAGCCTCTTTACCAACATGCTAGAAGCACAAGATCAACAAAAACTGATGTTACACTTCCTAAATGTCATTTAGATTTTGCCCGAGATTTTATTTTTTTTACTATTTTCATGATTCGCCAGTTTTTAATGTACTTTCTGTCAGTATCAAGCATATACCATCCTCTTAGGAAAAATGGAAAAAGAAAAAACAAAGGAGCTGTTATAGATAAAAGCAAACAGTCCCACTTAGATGCACCTAAACTGATGCAGAAAAAAAGCAACGCACAAATTAAATTAATAACAATCGATTCCTACAACATCACTTATTAGAAATGGCACTGATTAACTTCTCCCACATTTTAAGTTGCTTGTTAAGTTTGTCCATTTTCCTCGCTGTATGGAGTCATACGCCTTGTCCTAGCAATGAAAGCCTGAAGGAAAGGCATACCTCTCTGACATTTCGAAGAGTAAATATTAAACTTACCTAGAAGCAAAAATTTTTATTATTATTATTATTATTATTATCATTATTATTATCCCACTAAGCCAGGACAGGAAGTGATTCCGAAACTCAGGAGAAAAGTAAATGCTCGATGGATTCAATGTCAGTTTGACAGAAAGTGCAGATTGGTGATTCAACAGTGCCAAAGCGAAAACGTTTCTGATTTGCAAAAAGAATGCGATTCAACAATTTAAAAAAGAAAAATAGGAATCTCTGAGTTTTAATGGTAATGATTTTATTGTGCATAAAGATAGTAAATAACTGTTTTGGGATACGTTTATATTAGGCATAGTTTATTTCTTTGGTAGATATGTTTTGATAAAACGTCAGGGATTGGGGAAGGACTAATCACTGGTGTACATTATGACATTGCCACATCTATTTTATGATGCATCAGTTCAGTTTTTAATGCACTTGCTATCAGTATGAAGCAAGAGCCATAATGTGACTCTTGGTATGAAGTCCATGCCATTCCTAAATTTTTTCATAGGTCTATTTATACTTATAATGCAATTCATGGAAATTTTGCATTTTAATACATGTTTATTGTTCGTTAATATTTATTTATAGAACTATTGAATGAACTTAGTTTACTATTTATTTTTCCACTCGATAACTATTTTATTCCTAGAATGTATTATTTTGAACTTATTTTATTTCGTTTCTTAATTCGGAGAATTTTAAATTTTTTTTTGTTAACACTATTTTTGTAGGTTCTTATTATTTAACAATTATTGAATGAGGCTGAGAATGATGTTAAGAATTGTGTGTGTCTGAGTGTTACAGACATATTAGCGGTAATTTTATTTAAGTGCGTCAAGTATCCAGTCAATCCTGTTCGGTTCGCCCTCGTAGCCGTATAGCTAAAAAAAAAAACGAACATGTACAGGGCGGACATCTCGTTTAGACCAGTGTATTAATTTTAACCCTGATAGGTCTCATATATTTCCCATTCTTAATAAAGTATTTATTATTAGTTATCATCCAGTTGTGTTCAATCTAACAAACTCTAACAGGCATGATAGGAAATTATATTAATCCGCCAGTCCATACACCCTCGGGGGTACTCCCTTATATGGCCTATACTGGGATGTGCCGCTGCACAGGGTATAGTTTTTTACCTCTCTGTTCTGGACAGGGTAGATAATTACAGGGTGTTGCTTGCACCATTGATTTGATTCGCAAGATAAATTTTGTTTGTACTTTAAGTATACAAAAGGGTTTAACGTGAATTTGCTCTATTGCAATTGCCATTAAATGGCTTTAAAACAAGGCGGAGTGCATTTTCTCCTTTGTCCTAAACAGGGTAATAAAATTGAGGGTGTTGTCTTAAACAGGGTATATATTTAGGATTTTTTTTTCTTTGTCTAAAACAGAGTCAGGGTTTCAAACCCTCAGCGGCTCACCTATACCCCAGTATTGGTCGAAAATTTGCATGAGAATGAAAAATGCTCGCGGTGGCGCACCGTTCGACTTTCATTTATGATTGTACTTAGTCCTCCTCCTCCCATGTGTGCGCGCGAATAATTTCCTGTCATTAATTTTTGATTTTCAGCAACTTCATTATGTTCAAAAGGGTTCTTGGTTTTGTAATAGTGTGCGCTTGAATTTCTAAGCTTTTGCGTGACGCACCATTTACATGACGGCCAAGAGAGCTGTCATTTACGTTAAAAAAGTGACTTTTTTCGAGGAATATTGCTATTTAAACAGTTGAAGTATTAGAAAAAGTGTCACTTTAATGTTTATGAGTTCCTCTAGGAGTAAATTCACGCTTTTGTAACAAAACTCAGTAACAGATGTTTTTGTTGGTTTCCGTCCGCCATCTTGGAGCTCATCCGAATGAGCTCCAGCATGGCGTCTCCATACAAAGAACCCCTTTCCCGATACTAGGGAGCTTAAAAAAGGGCGCATTTGAGTGATGTAAGCCAACCGGAACTGGACTTTTTGCATTCTTGGGCAGCGATTTTGCCCAAACTGTCGGGCAGATCTTCTGTATAAGAGTAAAGAAACTTAAACTCAGCAAAACAAATTTGGTAGCGTCAAGGCATATTAAAAGGGAAATGGCTCATTTACGGTTGAAGTGCGTCGTTCAAAAACGGTTTTGCTTTCAACGGCCACTTCAATCAACTTCCACTCTACTTCCGGTTTACTTCCGGGTTGTTCCGTCAAGCACTATAGGTACACTATAGGAATCATGTATGAAGTACCTACCAAGATGGCGTCCAGTGTGGTGGAATCGGTGGAAAGCTTATCTGAGATACATCAACTTTTTAGGGACATATCCTTGAAGTTTTCTCCTGCTGAATCAGAGGATGTCGTGCAGTCTGTGAAGAGGATTTACGGAGAGCAATTCAAATCGCTGGGAAAGCAAGATTTGATGTCATGCTTGGGTCGTTCATATGAGTTCGGTTATGTCACGGATACGAAACTGACGCTGATCAAGGAGTTTATCGCTACAAAATCAAGCAATGAAAATGATATTAACCAAAGAATCGAAGACTTCGAGACCTTCCGCCCACCGCAGTCTGAGCTGGAGAAGATATTGGGAGAAAGAAGTGATGAAATCACGAAAATTATGGAAATACTTGAAAACAGACAAAAGCCTATTGTCAATTTGTACGGAGTAGGGAAGTCAACCGTTGCGAAGGAGATTTGTGGAAAATGGGGAGGACAGACATATGTTGTGGACTTAAAAGAAGCTGAAAACATGAGAGCAGTTTGTCTCAATATCATGACCACCCTTGGATTACCTGTATTTTTCGATACAGAACACATCATTTTGGATTCCCCTGAAAACGGTTTCTCGGCTGGTGTGGACCACGAACAGGATATTGTTAACGTGAGAAAACCTAAAGACACGAGGAAAGTCCGTCCCGACTTTATGGATTCCCTTGACCTAACAACCCCAGATGATTCTAGAGCCAGGAACTCTATTGTTAAAAGAATTTTTGGTCATATTGAAAAGGAGAACAAAGATCACTCCATTCTTTTGGTTCTTGACAATTTCGAGGATTCCACTAAAGGAAAGCAAAAGAAGGTTAAGGACTTACATGTAAACTTAGAACCTCACCTTCTAGATTTTTTGGGGGAGCTTTCACGATATGAAAGCAAGGCTGTAACAGTACATTTGCTTCTGACCTCAAGGACTCAGTTGAGAGATTCAAAGGTTACCAATTATGAATTGCAGTTTCTTAAAAACTCTTTGTTAGAGGAAATTTTTTTATCTGATGTTGATGCACAGCAGAAAAAGAGACTTCTTGAGATCTGCAAAGGAAACCCATTGCTACTGGTGGGAACAGCTGCAATTTTGAAACAAAAAAGAAAATCACCCAGTGATCTGATTGATGTGATAGAAAAGAGCTCTCAAGGGGAAGCTGAAATACCAGTGAAATCAAAAGGTGAAGAGGATATGGAAGAAAAACCTTTCAATTCAGAAGAAGAAGGCATCGATAAAGAACAATCATCACTGATCAGAGAAATGTTTTATACCCTACCATCTGACATTTTGAGGGTTTCAGCCGTATCAGTATCCCTGTTTCATGGGCCCTTCACTGCTTCTACAGCAGCCAAAATTCTTGATGTTAGCACGTCAGAAGTAGTGGCACAGCTTGAAGGACTGGTAACTAATGGAATTATTCAGGTAGCTGAAAAAGATGCCAAGCAGTTGATGTATGTCATTCATTCACTTTTAAGAAAGTATGCTGAAAGCATTAAAAACGATGACATGTTCTGTGACTCTTACACTGAAGCCAAGGGCAGATTTTACGAGCACTTCATGTCAAAGATGAACCAAATTGCTGGATTAATGAAGACCAACAACATCAAAGCAGTCAATGAGTTTCAAAGAGATCGTCCAAACTTTGAGTTTGCAATTGACATCTCCTTGCTTCCAGAGTACTTCAGTGTTCCTGGTGGATACCATGAAATTACATTGATTGTATTCCTTTTCAATGCCGTACTGGCTGAAAAGAAAATGATCAACGTGTTCCATTCCTGGGCAGAGATGTGCCCAAATGATGGAAAGTTAGGTATGCAAAATTTTTTCAAACTTAGTTAAAATGTACAAATGTACTGTACCATAATGAGTCTTAAAAGAATTATTATTATAGTGTGACGTCTTCAACCGGAGCCACCTTAGGACTTTCAACCAATCAGAAACCACTCTTTTAACAAAGAATTAGGCATGCGGACCTCGTCGGGATCTGTCCTATTTTTTGATTGGTTAGTTTCAATTGTAAATGTTTTCACCATTTAGAATGGTGTGTTGTATAGACTTACCCGTCTTTCTTGTGTGGCTGCTTTTCTAAAAATATACAAGCTGCTTATATGTTTAAGTTCTGGCTATAAGTAATATTGCTCGGTAAGGGGTATAAAAGTGCCTTGTATCTGTGGGGGGAAAGCACTCTGGTTACAAGACGTTGTTTGAAAATATCACACTGTGTTCATTGCCGCTGAATTGTATTTTCTTATTCCTACAACTACACTGTAGCTCAGAGATAAGCGACCAACACACATGCAAAATGCACACACCATTTCTGCGTATACACGTCAGGCACACATGCGTGCAACACTCGTGCGTGTTTTCCTTTGTTATTCATAGCCATTAATTTTCTTTGTGTGTTGTTGTTTGGCTAAACAAACGACTATGAACGACTACTCTTTACTAACCAAAACGAATATCTGTTTTTCTGCCAGAATGTACACATGCCTTGAGTTTCGGATGGATCAATGAGACTCTCGGCGAATGAAATTCTCTGCAATCTCGACTCGATAAAATATTCTTAAATCTTGGCTGAGAATCGCCCATCCATGCAGGACTCGAGTTTCAACGTAACATATTTCTGAAATAAGTCACAGCAGTTTTTTACGATTATGTAATGCAGGATTTGTTTCTACATGTATGCAAAGCATAAACCCATCATTACTCAACTGCTGACAATTGTTATGCACCTTGTTTGCAAGCTCGTGCCATTTTCTTTGGTTATCCCCGCATGTGGCAATCTGTCGCGAGAATGGATGTGTTTTTTTAGCTCTTGGACTGCTGGGAAGAGCTTGAAGGAAACTCATCAATAATGCTCTACATGTTAAGGGCAGCAGTAGACGCAGAGGAGGTTCTCATACGGTATTATTTTCAGTGTGTGTTTGGTTAAGGCTCATGCACTAAGGAGACGGTCGTATACTAACCAAGACCTGAATTTTGCTTGGCACATTAAAGGCTGAGATAAGTTAAAGCCATATGGCTTTCCTATTCATGGTGCTGTAGATGGATTTTTCAGGATTGAACATTTGGCCCTCAAACAATGAACCATGCCACATAGCTTCATGGTTTTATGATTGTGTTAAATCAAAATTAACAGAGGTAACTGCTTAAGAGTTTTTTGGACAGGTTGTGGCACTGAAAATGTGACCATGGGGGCCTGGTGCAGTGTTATTTTAGAAGGTTTGGAAACAACGTGCCAAGCGAAATTTGGGCCTGGGTTATTTTACGACCTTCTCCGTAGCGCATTAGCCTTTCGCAAGGCTGTTCCCTCAAGGATCAACTTGTAAAATCCCTTCCATCTTTCTTCTTAATTGGTGCCTGTATACCGTAATCCAAATGAAGGATGTGCCACATAGCTCGATAATCCCTTATGCAGCCTGACCCATTCAATTCTTGTGGAATGGTCTAGTAACTGTTGACCATTGTTACTGTTTACATTCCTTCTTCTTAATCCGTGTACTCACGAACTAGCCCATTGCGCAAAATACTCATAAACATGCTGAAGTTGTATGGTTCTTTTCTAAAAAGAGTAATATAACCAAGTAATCAAACCCACGCTGAAAATAATAACATATGAGAACCTCGTCTTTGTCTACTACTGCTACACTGTGACCTAGAGTAGTATTGGTAAGTTTCCTCCAAGCTATTCTCAGCAGTTCATTGTGCCAAAACACATCCATTCTCACGACAGATCGTCACATGGATAACAAAGAAATGTGGGAATTTGCAATCAAGGTGCATAAAATGTCAGCGGTTGAGTAACGATAGTTTCATGCTTTGTACAGTGACAAATCCTGCATTACGTAATCGGGAGAATTATGTGTTGTATTGCACAATTATTTTGTTGTGTTTGCTAATTTGTATTGTGTTTGGAAAATTGTGTTGTGTTTGGATATTATTGTGTAGTGTTTCAATAATACTGTGTTGTGTTTCGATAAATGTTTGTTGTGTTTAGATAATACCGTTTTGTGTTTGGAAAAGTGTTTGTTGTGTTCCAGGAATATATGTTGTTGTGTTTGAAGAACAGTTTGTAGTGTTTGCGGATGTGGGCCACCGTAGATCTGGAACCCCTTTGCGGACAAAGTGTAGCAAGTTTCTACCATTACTGTCAAACACAGATCACCAGTGATATGTGTTCCCCTACCTCGGAAATACATATCACTGGTGATGTGTGTTCCCCTACCTGGGAAACACATACCACTAGTGATATGTGTTCCCCTACCCAGGAAACACATATCACTAGTGATATGTGCCTAGCAGCGCTAAGCAGCAAACAGCTGTACATTTGAGTAATTGATCTTTTATCTTTTGTTTCAGGCAACAACAAGAGGACTGCCTGATGACCATGAGGGTTCAGTGCGAGTTATTGAAATTCCAGGTCTGTTTCACAGTCCTATATCCACCTCACCCTCCCCCTCGTTTTTGCCTGTCGTTAAATTATCTGGGGGTGGGGGTGGGGGTGGGGTTGGGGAGAAAAAAGGAGAAGGTGTCGTCACATCTGAGGAATTTTAATTCCGTCATCGAAAAGGTCGATGCAAAATAATGATTGCCGAAGACGAAATTTGGCAATGACGTCATTACTGTCCGAAACTGAGGAGTGACAGGCCAGATACCTTTCTTCCCTTCCCTCATAGCCCCCCAAAGAGATTAATAGTCCTTCCTCTTTCTCAAGAGTGGCTTAAGTCACATTTGAAACTCGAGTGTAATTATTAAGAGTGAAGAAAATTGTTGTGTTTTGTTCCTTTTTTAACATGTCAGGGATTGACAGGAATATGTGTTGTGGAACACACGTCAGTAATCTCAGTCAAGTGCAGGTACACAATGTTGAAATACCATACACATCTACTTTTAATGCCACTGTTAAATGTGATCCAATTCGGAAGCACATTCAGACACTTGGGAGCTTAAACAAATACGACGGCGACGGCAACAAGAATTGCAAAAACGCAATAGGTTTAGATCACGTGCTCATGCCTTTTTGTACATTTCTTCGCCGTCACTGCACCTACGACGTGAAACTTCCTGATTTCACGTTTTATGGAGGACGGGAACATATGACAACGATTTTCTTTTTCTTTTTGTGAACTTAGATTCAGTCCTTTAGAATTCAACTCTTGAAAAAAATCGCCAACATTTGACAAATTGAGAGTTGCAATAAGAGCAATGAAGTTTGAAACAGAAACAGTGCAAATTCACCGTGCCGTTTTTGCGGCCGTTGCCGTCATCGTTGTTTAAGCTTGCTATTAACTAACGAACACATCTCCATGACGGTCATGAATCCCGTCATACTCTATTGTTACAGTAAAACCCGCATATAAGAACCGAAACGTTTAGACCCAAGTCAAATTTAGAAGGATTTGTATTTAGTCATCAGAGCATAACTGGGCCAGTATCACAGAGACAATTTGCCCCACAAGGCTAGTTTTTGGAAAGTAGGCCTCTTGGATGTTGTTCTTTCAGAATATCCTGACAAATCCCAGAATTGCACAGTACTCTATACCAGTTGCTTCAAACATTTGCTTAGACTTGCTACAAGTCGATCTCTTGGCGAGCGGAGCGAGCCTTTTTGGCTGCGAAGCGGCCGACCGCGAGCGACGAAGTCGCGAGAGGTCGACTTGTCTCGCTTGATGGGTTTCCATTTGTATTTCGCGCCAAAAATGGGGATTGGCGTGACTCGCATTTGGGGTTTCAGGTTTCATTTGCGAGTCCTTGACTTCAATGGCGGAATGTGCTGATTCGACTCCGACTAAATCTATTGAACGTGTGTGTTTATCTCCATCATCGAAGGAGCAAATTTGTTTACTTTGTGCGAAAGTTGTCTCTAACAACGATTTTAGGCGAAAGTTGATGACCTCAGGGGGCCGGAAAAAAACAAAAACTTGTTTCAATCTCGAGTCAATACTGGGAAAGGAGATTTCACAACCAAGGAATCCTTGACATCCGCACACATTTTAAACCTACAGATACTTTTCAATACACGCATTTCTCTTCCTGTAACCCTCACGGGGTCAGAACTAACTCCTCAGCTAAATCGTTCTATGAAAACATCTACAACTTCAAAAAACGCCTTCACGCTAGAGGTTACCCCCACAACCTCATAGGAAAAATCACTTCTGAGGTTAAATTTGCCGAACGGAAGTCAGGTTTACAAAAGAACAATGAAGTGCGGAAGAAAATTCTGCCTTTCGTTACCACGTACCACTCTTCTTTGCAGAACCCTAACAACATTTTAATGAGCAAATGGCACTTAATTCAAGATCACCCACTACTAAGAGAAATATACAACAAGCCTCCCATCATTTCATATAAAAGAGCAAAATCGCTGGGAGATATCCTCGTTAGAGCAAAACTATAAGGTCACGTATCACACTATCACGAGCTTATGAGTCAAACCGCAAGTCACGTTTCAGTGCGCTTAGTACATGTGAGTGACAGCTTTATCCCCAAGGGTCCTTGGGAGCTATTCTGATTGGTCCAAGCGCACCGACCCGTTTTTGGGTCGGTGAAATTCGCGCCAATCAAGTATGAAAAGTCCTTCGTCCCGCGCCATATGAAATCCGACGAAGGACTTTTTTGAAAGTCTAACATTTGCTGTGTTACAGGTGTTTCATCCCAAGAGGGGAGGGGGTAGGGTGTGGGTATGCTTCCCCTACTGACAGTCATATAATGGTCTCCCAGAGTAAACATGTTTTTGAGGTACATATCATTAAAGGACAATAATTACTGTTTGCATTTAAGGTCATCAAACTGTTTCCAGAAACAGAATCAATGCGAGGTGGTACAAGACTGTTTTTCCTTGCTGGAGACAGGGTTCTAAAGTACCTTGGTAAAGCTTTAGATAATGAGAGAGCATTGACTAGGATGTTAAGGTAAGAGCTTGTTCATGTGAGCTTTTTTTCAATGGTCAAACCTTGGCTTAGGATTTCATCTTCAGACTTAAGAGTTAGAACCACTTTGTAACGGTAAAACAATCCCACTGAAAAGTATCGCTCTGTAGCTTTCATCTGAATGGTCACACTTTAGGATTCATCCAGACTCAAAAGTTAGAACCACCTTGTACAGCATAATAAAACAGCACCACAGGAAAGTATTGTTCAGTAGCTTTCATTTGAATGGTCACATTTTAGGGTTTCATCTACAGACTTAAAAGGTAGAACCACAGGAAATTAATCCTCACTAGCTTTCATTTGAATGGTCACACCTCAGGATTCATCCACAGACTCAAAAGGTAGAACCACCTTGTACAGCATAATACACAGTACCACTGGAAAGAAGTGGCATAGTCGTTGCTTTATTTAAACGTCTTCTTCCCCAATAATGAGCTTCTTTTTGTTGAAGAGGGTTCACGCCCGAGAAAAATTCTGTTGATAAATGGCGCCGGCTATTACACCAGTTTCAGTTTTCAAACACTTCGAACTATTTGAACTTTCAAGAATTTAGTGAATTAACAGCGTGTTGGTAACGTATTAAACTTTTAACCGTGTAGGTAACAACCTAATCTTGGGAATACTTTGCTTAACTTTGCCAATTTCGGCTCGTTAGACCACACTTAAACTTATCTATCGCATGTGCACTCACTGGTATTAATCTGTTATCCTTTTCGTAGTGTTGGACCAGATGATCACCCATCAGTAGTGGATCGTATTCAAAACTCACTCAAGTCTGTTAACAAGGTACTTTCGACTACCGTGTCGTACCAAATTTTTGCGGTTTTTCCAGCGATCAGCAAAAATAAGTTCCCGCAAATAAAAATTACTGCAAACATTTTTGCCGCAAAAATTTACTCCGGAGTAAATATTCTCTAACTTAAATTCGCTTATGTGTATTATTGTAGTCGTGCAGTGAAGGCAGAGAAATGTACAAAAGAGCGTGACGCACGTACAACAACAAATTTTATTGAAAATTGGAAAATATCTAATTACATTACTTTCCCACCCGCTAATAGCTTATAAACTAATCGAGGCGGGGGGAGCTGAAGACATACTACAAAACAAGGTTTGTATATAGATGGACTAAATAACAGTGAAGACACTACTATACAGTAAATAGAATTTAAACTAACATAAAACAAGGCAAGTGCTGAATAAAGGTGATGTCACACGGGACGATTCGCAACTGCGATTTTTAGCGCAACACAGCGTAGCAATGCTGCGTTCTTGTTGCCGTCGCCGTCGTCGTTGCTAAAGCTCCCTACCTGTTTCGTGTGGACCGAGGGCCGATTCGTGCAAAAAGTTCCGCATTTCCAAAACTACCCGGATTCGTGTTGATGACGTAGCCTTAAGCTTGACTGTCTTTTGTTCTGTTGATTTTGTTCCACAGGTTACTAAGTCGCAGCTAAGAGAGCTTGCCCAGTTAGAAGCCTATCAGCTTCAATCCTTTAGCGAAACGAAAACATACTTCTACATACACAGGTAATTGAATAAGACGAGTTAAAGCAGTCGTTGGAGATTGAGTTCAAGTTGGAGCATCTATATTTGCGATTAGAGTTCGAGTTCAAGTTCGTATTCAAGATCGAGTTTAAATTCGAAATCGAGGTAGGCTGAATCTAACATCATTACCAAGAATATTGATTCAAGACATTTTACTGAGAACGCAAGACATGGCCAATCTTACCGAGCATTGTGTAGATAGTTCTGTGGTTATCGCGTTCAGTGTGTTTCAGTTTACGTAATAAGAGAGATTTTGCCTAGTCCTTAGGCCTCATTTTTCCGCGCGGCCAGTGCGTTTCGGGTCACGTGGTATCGGATATGCCCCCGAAATTCAGTGACCGAGAATACCTGGAAAGACGCCGTACGAGGACTAACGGCAGGGCGCAATTTTGATATTTTGTTGTGATGAATGTTTCGTACTTTTTGCTTTCATTCTTCTTAGAGAGAATGGAGATATGGATTACATGAATGCACTGGTCAATGAATTGTCTAAACAAGTAAGTTCTCTTTGCCAACGTTTCTCGCATTTCCTTGTTCTTTTGTTACTGTTTCATTGTTGTTTCTGTCCCCCCTGTTCCCCTGTTCCACTTGCTCCCCCTGTTCCTCTGTTTCCTCTGTCCCCCCTCTTTAGTCTTTAGTCTTAAAGACTAAAGTCCTTTGTCCCTAGTCCTTTGTTTCCCTTGTTCACCCTATTCCCCTTGTTCCCCCTTTTCCTCTTGATCACCCTGTTCACCCTGTTCCCTCTGTTTCTCTTTTTCCTTCGTTCCCCCTTTCTCTGTTTCTCTTGTTCCCCTTGTTCCCCATTTTCCCTCTTTTTCCCTATTTATTTGAGTGGAGTGCGTGTAAACTAGCTGGATACGCTAATTGCACTTTCCACTATAAACAAGCCTTTAAACCTTTTTTTCCTGTTCCCCTTGTTTCCCTCGCTCCCCTGTTTCCCTTGTCCTCCTTGTTTGCCTTGCCCCCCCCCCCTTCTCCTGTTCCCTCTGTTCCTCTGTCGCCCTTGTTCTCCTTTTTCCCTGTTCCCCTTGTTTTCCCCGTTCTTCTTGTTTCCTCTCTCCCCCTTGTTTTCCCTGTTCCTCTTGTTCCCTCTTTCCCCCCTGTTCCCCCTGTTCCCCCTTTTTCCCTGTTCCCCTGTTCTCCTTGTTCCCCTGTTTTCTGTGTTACTTCTGTTCCTCTTGTTCCCCTTTCCCCTGTTCCCATTTTTTCCTTTTCCTCCTATTCCCCTTGTTCTCCCCGTTTCCCTTGTCCCCCCTGTTCCTCTCTTTTCCCCTGTTCCCCTTGTTCTTCTGTTCCCCCGGTTCCCCCGGTTCCCCACGATCGCCTGGTCTTCCCCTTTTCCCTTTTTTCCTGCTCCCCTTCTTCCCCTTGTTTCCCTGTTCCCCTTGATGCCATGTTCCCTCATTTCCTCTGTTGCCCTTGTTCCCCCTGATCCCCTTGTTTCCCCTGTCCCTTTTCCCCTTCCTCCCCGTGTTGCCCTGTTCCCCTCGTTGCCTTGTTATCTTATTCCTGCTGTTTCCCTCGCTCCCCTGTTCCCATTTTTCCCTATTCTTCTTGTTCCCGCCGTTCCCCTTTTTGCCCTGTTCTCCTTGTTCCCTTTGTCCTCTCTGTTCCCCTTGTGCCTTGTTATCTGTTTTTTTATCTTACCACCGTATCAGAAACTTGAAAAATGAAGTTTGTGTCTTTTTAAACTTTTTTTCAGCCTCGGCTTGTTCTAGTAACAGTAGGACCCGACAAAGGACCCGGGCAGTTCCTTATTTTTGGAGACGAGAAGCAAGTGTCACAGATAGGCCCAAAGTAAGTACTGTGACAAAATGTTCTAAGAATTGTTGCTGGCTATTTACAAGCGTGGCCGAGGATTTCAACTCGGAGCTGCCATGAACAAATCCAGATAGCGGTCAGAGCGGGACTTGAACTCGGAGCCTCCAAATTGCAAGTCCAGCGCTCTAACCACTCGGCCACGCTGCCTGCCAACTGATTCGTAATCGATAACGATTAGTCTGAAGAATTTGTATCTTTATTGCAGCTTAATTGGTTAAATGGGTTAACTTCGGAGAACAATACAACCCATACCCCTCTCCCCCTTCATTCAAAGTTGTGTTTTTTACAGGTAGCTCGAACAGCGGCACCACATTGCATAGGGAGGGTGGGGGAGTGATTGCTTTATTTTCACCTTTTTTTGTCGATGAAATAGGAGAAAGGCCTTTGAGGCAAAGTGTCTCAACTATTGTCACTGCATACAGAATAAGCGCATCATGGATTGTGACTCTAAACCTTTAGATTGCTCTGTGCTTTCATGTCTCTTGGGCAGGGATGATGCTTTGCTGTCCATATGCTTAAATTCCCGTGTTTTTCATCTATCGGTATCATTGGGCCTTTTGTCGCCCCACCCTCCTTCCCTCGTGCCGGTTGACGAGGCCACCTTTTCGCCCGCTGCTCACCTTGTTACCGCAGTTGTCACCGTCTCCTCCCATAACTTAGTAATGACTAATTTAGTTGCCGATTGAGTGTTCTCACAGGAAAATCTGTTTTATTAATCATGCTCTAGCTTAGCCATATTTATTCACTGATCTCTGTTACGTTGTACAGAATTGCTGCTGTTTTTGAAGGCAAAGGCGGCGGGAAAAAGGGAAGATACCAAGGCAAAGCAAACACATTGAAGACAAGAAGTTCTGCTGAAGATCTTCTAAAGGAATTCACTTCGATGTTAGTTAACGAGAGTTAACCCAGCAGTTACAAAAATCTTCCTAGAAATGGACAATTTTTTCACAGTTTTAGAATTCCTCGAATAGTCCCGGATTTCATATAGCCGCATTAAGTCCTTTCCCTGTCCTTTCCTCGCTAAAATGCCATGGTCTGACTTTGTAGAGCTTTTTCACATGATGTCATGTCCGCCATATTGGTGTCCCAAAACAATGAAACAGCGGCTAGTTGGCGTCCCAAACAGTTTCTTATGTAAGACCCTACTAAAAAATATTTCGCCGTTTCCTATTGGCTAAAATCACCCGCATAATTCATCATAACCAGCTACTGTTGATCAAACTTGGAATATTTTTTTCATATTGAACGGGTGACGTCAAAAGTGCAGCAGAGTTGAAGATTATTGAACCATTAACCAAGAAAACCTGGAAACGAGTTTGAGTTGTTTTCGAACTGAGTAATGGCAGAACATTTTACTCGTTTCACGACGAACTATTGTGTATAACCTGGCAAGAACAGCAAAAAGACAACTCGACGAACATCTGCTATTTGGAGAATATTTGCAGACCCGAAAAGCCCTTTATCTCATGAACGTCCCGATAAAGATCCACTATCGATATGGACTTAACATCGATGGAGGTAAGCATATTTTAGCTTGTTTTTACACTTGGAATAATTTTAAATGAATAATAAAGCAATCGGCCTCTGTGGATAATACCCTCCTGGATTTGCAGAATTTTTCATATCCTACTCAGCTTCATTCAGTAATTGCTAAATAGCTGCTGGCTAAATAAAAAGTCTATGTAATCAGTTGCAATTTATTATTTGTTGGCGAGGGGGTGGGGACAGGGGCATGGAAAGGAGCATTTGAGCACTCTCTGATAGTGATTTTTAACAAAACGAGAATAACACAAACCAAGTAGAGAATAGAGCCACAATTTTTGAGAGAGACAAGAAGGACATCGTTGTAGCTGTCACCGCGTCAGTCGTAAGCAGTTGTATTCCAAATTGAAAGTCAAATAAAAAGATAAAAATCGGTTAAAAGTTATTGACCATTCTCTGCGCTTTCAATGTTCAACCGGTGTTTCCCAGACACTCTAGACAACGTCTCGATTGCGACGGAACATTTGCTGCAAAAAGGACTTTTGAGACAGTTACTAGGGACTGGGGACAAAATTAGTAACAATCTTGGTAAGAATTATTAAGGGAATCTTGGGAAAATTCTTGGTAACAATTACTTCAGGAATCTTGGCAACAATCTTGGTAAGAATTACTACGGAAATCTTGGTAAGAATCTTGGCAAGATTTACTACAGGAATCTTGGCAAGAATCTTGGTAAGAATTGCCACAGCAATCTTGGCAAGAATCTTGGTAAGAATTACTACGGAAATCTTGGTAAGAGTCTTGACAACATTTACTGCGGGAATCTTGGTAAGAATTCCAAAGCAATCTTGCCAAGAATCTTCCTAAGAATTACTACGGGAATCTTAGAGTCTTGGCAAGATTTACTACGGGAATCTTGGCGAGAATTACTAAGGGAATCGTTAAAGGAATCTTGGTAAGAATTACTACGGAAATCTTGACAAGAATCTTGGCAAGATTTACTACGGCAATCTTAGTAAGAATCTTCGCAAGAATCTTGGCAAGATTTACTACAGGAATCTTGCTAAGAATCTTGGCAAGAATTACTACGGAAATCTCAAAAAGAATCTTGGCAAGAATTACTACGGGAATCTCAAAAAGAATCTTGACAAGTTTTACCACGGAAATCTTGGTAAGAATATTGCCAAGGTTTACTACGGGAATCTTGGCAATAATCTTGGGAACAATTACTACGGGAATCTTGGCAAGAATCTTGGGAAGAGTTACTAAGGCAGTCTTGGCGTGAATCTTGGTAAGAATTACTACGAGGATCTTGGTAAGAATCTTGCCAAGACTTGCTACGGGAATCTTGCCAAGAATCTTGGTAAGAATTAGTACGGGAATCTTGACAAGAATCTTTGCAAGTCTTACCACAGCAATCTTGGTAAGAATCATGGCAAAATTTACTACGAGAATCTTGGTAAGAATCTTGGCAAGAGTTACTACGGGAATCTTGCCAAGAATCTTGGTAAGAATTACTACGAGAATCTTGGTAAAAATCTTGGTAAGAATTACTACGGGAATCTTGGCAAGAATCTTGGTAAGAATCTTGGGAAGAATTACTACGGGAATCTTGGCAAGAATCTTAGTAAGAATTACTACGGGAATCTTGGTAAGAATCTTGGCAAGATTTACTACGGGAATCTTGGCAAGAATTTTGGCAAGATTTACTACGGGAATCTTGGCAAGAATCTTGGTAAGAATTACTACGCGAATCTTGGCAATATGTACTACTAGAATCTTGGTAAGAATTACTACAGGAATCTTGGTAAGAATCTTGGGAAGAATTACTACGGGAATCTTGGCAAGAATCTTAGTAAGAATTACTACGGGAATCTTGGTAACAATCTTGGCAAGATTTACTACGGGAATCTTGGCAAGAATTTTGGCAAGATTTACTAAGGCAGTCTTGGCGTGAATCTTGGTACGAATTACTACGAGGATCTTGGTAAGAATCTTGCCAAGACTTGCTACGGGAATCTTGCCAAGAATCTTGGTAAGAATTAGTACGGGAATCTTGACAAGAATCTTTGCAAGTCTTACCACAGCAATCTTGGTAAGAATCATGGCAAAATTTACTACGAGAATCTTGGTAAGAATCTTGGCAAGAGTTACTACGGGAATCTTGCCAAGAATCTTGGTAAGAATTACTACGAGAATCTTGGTAAAAATCTTGGTAAGAATTACTACGGGAATCTTGGCAAGAATCTTGGTAAGAATTACTACCGGAATCTTGGTAACAATCTTGGCAAGATTTACTACGGGAATCTTGGACAGAATCGTGGTAAGAATTACTACAGGAATCTTGGTAAGAATTTTAAACAGAATTAGTAAGGGAATCTTGGCAAGAAACGTGGTAAGAATTACTACGGGAATCTTGACAAGAATCTTGGCAGGTTTTACTTCGGAAATCTTGGTAAGAACCTTGGCAAGATTTACTACGGGAATCTTGGCAAGAATCTTAGTAAGAATTACTACGGGAATCTTGGTAAGAATCTTGGCAAGATTTACTACGGGAATCTTGGCAAGAATTTTGGCAAGATTTACTACGGGAATCTTCGTTAGAATCTTCAAAAGATTTACTACGGGAATCTTGGCAAGAATCTTGGTAAGAATTACTACGGGAATCTTGGTAACAATCTTGGCAAGATTTACTACGGGAATCTTGGACAGAATCGTGGTAAGAATTACTACAGGAATCTTGGTAAGAATCTTGGTAAGAATTACTACGGGAATCTTGATAAGAATTTTAAACAGAATTAGTAAGGGAATCTTGGCAAGAAACGTGGTAAGAATTACTACGGGAATCTTGACAAGAATCTTGGCAGGTTTTACTTCGGAAATCTTGGTAAGAACCTTGGCAAGATTTACTACGGGAATCTTGGCAAGAATGTTAGTAAGAATTACTACGGGAATCTTGGTAAAAATCTTGGCAAGAATCTTATGAAGAATTTATAAGAATAGAGTGTTTTCACATGACGTCACGGCGGCCATATTGGTGTCCCAAAACAATGAAACGGCGGCCATGTTGGTGTCCCAAACCAGTCCTCTGGGAGTTGAACTCTTTTCTTATGCAAACGCGTTCTTTTGTTCCAATAAATTTGCATATATGCTGGCCGCGTGAGTGAAAACACTCTATAGGGCATTTTGCAGTTATGTATGGAACCGAGGTTGGAGTTGACCTTGTTTTGATACAAACCTTCCTGGTTTATCATGTAAATCAAGTTATTCTTATGCTAACCAGTATTTTTTACGTACAATTTCCATAACAAAGCAAAGCAGGTTTGTATCAAAACAAGGTCACCGTCAGCCTCACATTCACTCGAGGGCTAGGGTGCTTAGTCCACAACTAAAAAATTGTCTATTACTACGGCAATCTTGGTAACAGTCTTGGCAAGATTTACTACGGGGATCTTACTAAGATTCTTGGCAAGATTTACTATGGGAATCTTGGTAAGAATCTTGGCAAGAATTACTACGGCAATCTTGGCAAGAATTACTAAGGAAATCTTGACAAGAATCTTGGCAAGTTTTACCACGGAAATCTTGGTAAAAATCTTGGCAAGATTTAGTACGGGAATCTTCGGAAGGGTATTGGAAAGAACTACTACGGGAATCTTGGAAAGAATCTTGGGAAGAATTATTAAGGCAATCTTGGCAAGAGTCTTGGTAAGAATTACTACGGGGATCTTGGTATGAATCTTGGCAAGACTTGCTACGGGAATCTTGCCAAGAATCTCGGCTAGAATTAGTACGGGAATCTTGACAAGAATCTTCGCAAGTTTTACCACAGAAATCTTGGTAAGAATCATGGCAACAGTTACTACGGGAATCTTGGCAAGAATCTTGATAAGAATTACCACGGGAATCTTGGTAAAAATCTTGGTAAGAATTACTACGGGAATCTTGGCAAGAATCTTGAGAAGAATTACTGCGGGAATCTTGGCAAGAATCTTAAGAAGAAAAAATTTAAGAATTACTACCGGAATCTGGGAAATATGTACTACGGGAATCTTGGCAAGAATCTTGGTAAGAATTACAACGGGAATCTTGACAAGAATCTTGGTAAGAATTACTACCGGAATCTTGGTAAGAGTCTTTGCAATATGTAGTACTAGAATCTTGGTAAGAATATTGGTAAGAATCTTGGCAAGATTTACTACGGGAATCTTGGCAAGATTTACTACGGGAATCTTCGTTAGAATCTTGGCAAGAATGTTGGTAAGAATTACTACGGGGATCTTGGTAAGAATCTTAATAAGATTTACTATGGGAATCTTGGCAAGAATCTTGGTAGAGAATTACTACGGGAATCTTGGCAAGAATCTTGGTAAGAATTACTACGGGAATCTTGACAAGAATCTTGGTAAGAATTACTACCGG